AATCACGACTTCGAAGGCCACCATCTCCCACGGAGGTGGCGGCATTCCTGCCAGTCTGGTTAGTGGTGTGTAGGGTCCAGCGGTTAACAGTTTAGATGGCAAAGCCTAATGTATCTACCTATATCTATGTGTAGAAACTAAGCTAAGTATAAAATAATACCTTAATCCTATCTTAGAAAGTTAATAGTTTTCAGACCTCTTTAAGAGTCTGGTGTTCTTGTAAAGTTAAGTAAGGGATGTGTTTGAACTTGTGATTTTCATTATCTGTTATGAAATTGAAATTCTTTTCACTTGTCTTTTGCTCTATCAACTGCGCTTAATTATCTTTTTCCTTTTGATATTTGATAGCTTGCTAGTAGAGGCTAGTGCCTCTGTTTTCAAATGGAATGATACCTGAATTCAATATCAAATCAAGCTTTCATATTACAAACTAGTATACCCTTATATTCTTTGGGTACAGGATATAAAATATATATGTACATATATAATATAGTACATAGCTTTTTTTTGAACTACTGGCCCACTCTCAATTTAAAAACATTTGTTGATATTAGTGGATCCACTGACCTCGCTTATTATATTTTTTTCCTTTCAATTCTCCTAAATGTTCAACATTTTATTTAAATTTTAAATGATTTCATTACTTGTTGCAAAAAAGTTGAACAATTGCAACAATTAGCATGCAAAGCATTTAAATAAAAATCAGCTAAAATTATAATTACACGCCTTGCGCATTTGAACTTCAATCGATTCAAGGTAAGCAAGTTGAAAACAATTTTTATTTTTGTATTTTGTTTACAAACAACAAGGCAAAGATACAGACTGAGTCAGTTGTTGTTATTTTTATTGTTTTTTTGCTGCATGCCAAAATAAAAAGTGCCAGAGGGAGAACAAAAAGTGATAAAAGAAGAAGAGCTGAAGAAGCGTGTCAGCAACAAAAATACAAACTTGTTTATTTATGGAAAAGCGTGAGGCAAAATTCTTAAAACAAAGTCATGTGGAGCCCAGTGGCTGATCGACAAGAAGACGGCTCGACGAAGGCTTCAATTGACATTTAATTGGTTTGGAGAGGCACGAGTGACTGTTTGACTGACTGTCTGAGGTGCAAATGGAAATGCAGTCAGACAGCCAACAAAGTGGGTCAAATGCATTTCAAACATGCAACTTGCAGTTCATTGCACCAAAAAAAAACAGAATCAATGAAAAAAGTTCTGCTATAAAAGACGCTGCAGCGCACAGAAAAATGTTTGTAATTAGTCAGACAGTCGAGCACATGGACTTGTCAGTCTCCACGTCTCTGTCTAATGCCACGTCGTGCATTCCCGGCACGTATAGTATGCACATATATCCAAATATACATATGCATGTACATATGTATGTGTTTGTTTGTGGGACAACTATGACGTTCATGCTGTTGTTGCGACGGCGCGGCGGCCCATTTGATGACACCTACGGGCAAGTAAATAATTGCGGTTGCAATGCAAACACACGAAAGTTTTTGTTATTCAGGTAAAAAAAATTAAGGTAAATGTGGACTTTAAACAGGTGTCGCATTGCTTTTTATGTGGTTGCAGTCATGTTGTCTGATGGTTTAATAGTTTAATGTACCCAATGTATACAACTGCGGGAACATACATAAGTACATTTGTATGTATGAAGATACACATGGGTATGTACATATGTTAGACACTTCCGCAATTCCACTTCACTGACTTTGTTACTCTTCCAGTTTGGTTTTTACTAATTGGTCTTGAGAGTATACATCTTTTTCTTTATCGCATGTTTTAAAATAAAAATTTTGAGTTATGTACCGAAATAATATAGAAATAAAGTCAATGGAATTCCATGATCAACCAATTGGAAAGACTATACACTTCAGTTTATTGTCCAAAATTATTATTGTTATTTATGTGACCTTTTAGAATAACAGTGTCCTGTCCGTTTGATTTTATCTTCTATTTCTGTTCCGTCTTCAATGAATTTTTAAGTTCTTTTGTCCATTAAATATTGGAACACATTAATTGGGTGATGTTAATTGATGTACTATAGATTTTAACTTTAAATAAATCTCAACATGAATATATGTATATTTCTGTCTGTCCTTTAACTAATATAGAAATTTTCCAGTTTGCATATAAGAATGAATTAATAAAAATATTATTCTTGGGAAATATTTTACAGTACAGACAGTGAGGAAAGGTTGTGGATCCCTAAATAGTATGTAAAGTTTATAATAAATCGCAACACCAGCAGCGACAAGTTATCAAGAGACTGAAACCCGGCCTTTAATGCTATAATTCGTAATGATTTGCACTTAAACTTTATTATAGAAGAAATCATCAATAAAATAATGCATTAGCACAACACTTTTGCAAATCGTGTCCAACCATTTATGCAGACCATGTCTATACTGCAAAATTACAAAGTGCTCCGTAACAAACTGCAAAGTAAACTACAAGTTTAAGCACCAGGAAAAAAAAAAGATGCCCCCAGGTCAAGCAGAACAAACAAGCGATAAGCCTTTAAGAAACAAAGCCATAAACAAAAGCCAAACAAGCTAAATGCTTAACAACAACAGCAACCAAATCCGACAAACTTGGCCAAGCCGCATAACTGTGCCAAGGCGATGGGAGAGACAACATAATGCACACACACACACAACAAACAAGTAGCAGCATACAAGCAACAGCAACAACAATATTTTGGACATATGCATGTATGTGCATAATTTATGCAAAATGCACCGTTAGAGAGCCTTCACTAATCCATTCTCCCGCTCTCTTTCTTATGCCCGCTCTCAACATTACGTATGTGATGTATGTATGTTTGTATGTATGTATGTACATTGGGCAGAATGTTGAAAAATGTTAACAGAGGGCTAAATAGTTAAAATGAAGGAAGTAGAAAATATCAAATTACTAAGTGTGCATTACGCAACAAAAAGCAAGAGAGGCAGCTGTTCTAAGAGAGTGAGATGGCCATTGAAAATGCATATGCAGAGTTTTCTCAGAGCAGCAGCAGCCGCAGCAGCTGCCTTGTCATAGGTTTCGCATTACGCTCCGCTCCACTCCACTCCGCTCTGCTCCGCTCCGCTCAAGTGCTGCTTACGTTTTAGTGCTACTTCATTTGCCACTTGTCGAGCGTCAATTTCCTGTTGTTGCTGCAGGTGGTCTTGAGAAATCTCAGAGCGGAAGTACGGAAGATGCCAAATGTGCAGCTGTCTGGTAGCCAAAGTTCAACAATTAATACGTAAATTGATTTACAAGTAAGCCAACCAATAATACAAACAACAACAGTCGTAAAACTTCCTCAACACAAAAGAAAATCCATTTGTTAAAAGCCGCAAAAACAAAAGGCAAAACTAAAACCATAACCAAATATAATGCGGCGATAGCGCCAAATGGCACGACATGGCTTTAACCAGCTACAACAATAACAACAAGTTGCAGTTTTACAATAACAACAAAAACAGCCGCTTCGGCTGTTATTATAACAAATGCAAAAACGGCGAAACCATAAAAAACATTTTCGAATTTGGTGTCGACTGTCTCTCTCACATAAAAAATTTACTCGTATATGCCATAGATATTTAATTAGTGCAAAAAGAAATAAAAGGTAATGACTTCCAAACCCAACTGCCATTTATTACAGTTTGAGAATCAATAATATATATGTATGTATAGTACAAACAGAATTGCGTGTCGAAATTTTTGCAAAAGGCAAGTGACTTAAGTGTGAACAGCTGTTGGAGTTTCCAAGTAGCAGTTGGATGGTTTAACCCATGAATACTGACCCCAAGAAATTATTTAGCGGGTGCGTTGCTATTACTTGCAGGGACTGCTGGATATACTACACCGAATAAATTAAGCCGAAGTATTGATACATACGCCCCTCCAATTGGCCTGAATGATCAGAAATTAAATTAAACGTTGCATTGGGCCGGGATTGTTGTATCATTACTGTAAAAAGTGAATAAAACGATTTGTATTTAAAATTTTGTGTTCAACTAAAGCAGCATGGTTAGTTGTAATTGAAAATCCGAGGCGTTCCGAATACTGAACACTAATTAGTTAATATACATACTAGCAATGTAAATTGCTTTTAATAGTGCAATGTTGTATGTGTGCACTGTTGTTTAACAGTTGCAGTTGGGCTGCTTAATGCATTTCTATGTCTGCCAAAATACGTGGTCGGTGCAGAGCACAAGAGCCGTTTGTTTATGCGTCTTAACAGTTTTATAGCATTTCGTTTTTTGTGTTATCTTTTCTGCAAAATCTCGTATATTGCATGCAGCGGCTTTGTGTTCATTGTACAAATCTTTTGTTCGCATGAATGCGTGTATGAGTATGGTTTTCTTTTAGCGGTCTACCTATTACACGCTCACGGCCATTGTTCTTTTCTAAAGCGACACTAATTAGCAGTGGGGCGCGATTTACTCACACACACACAGACGCACGCATACACAGTTATACACATATTTTGTAATAATTAAGTTGGCTGTGGCCCTTGTCTTGGAGTCTGCTGCTACAGTTTGAATGATGTGCACGCCAAACTGTAACTAATGATCATATTCTGTGTGTGAATTAACACATTTTGAGAGCAAATGTTTACTTTAGATAATGTAGAACAGTTAAACAATAATAGAAACAGGTTGAGAAGCTAATCTCGTCGTAGCTATGTATGTAGGTACTTTTTAGTGTGCCTCACAATATCATTATTTCTCCTGTACTCGGACTTGATTTTGATTAAAGATATGTATGCATGACATATCTTTGGTCTTTAAAGCTGTTCTCCCACAGTGGATATTGAAACACACAACCACTTGTACAGATGTACCTTTAACATGTAGTTTAAGGTTTTTTCCTTTAGGTACAAACATATGTACGTACATATATATGTATGTATGTTTGTACATATACAAGTATATGTATGTATGTAAATACCCCAAATAATGAAACACTTTTCACTGAAGGGTATAAAAAGAAGAAAAGCATACACACCTGTTAAAACTGTTGTTGAAAAGAATTTTTATCCAATTGGTATGTTGTACGTGCCACCAAAAGCAACAACAAAAACCGCGATCAACGAGTTGTTGTGTACCGTTAGTTGGAATCGCTCACCACACAGCTTGTCTCGTGAAGATTTTGCACTCACATTCAATTTTAAAACACCCACAAAGAACACGCACAGATATTTGTTTTAAAAACATGCACTACAGATTTATTAACACGCTCACATACACATACACACACATGCTAATGCAAAAGAGAGAGAGAGGGAGAAGCACTCGAAAAAAAAACACGACTGGCGCAACAGTTGTTTTTGTTGTTGTATTTTTCGGCTACTGCAGATCTTGGCAAGCAGAACAGGTAGTTTTTTCTTTACTCGCCTGCGTGGTTGGTTTTGCGGGTTCGATTTTGTTTTATTATTTTTTTGAACAACAACACGCACTTTATTTTCATTAACTTTACTTTTTATTTATTTTTCGCAGCTTTAGGTGTAACCAAGGCCAAGACTGTTAGCGGCTGCCTCAACAGTAACTTCACTTGGGCGTTTCATATATTTTTATGTGTGCGTGTATTGCTTTTGTTGCACTTTCACTCAAGAGTTAGTTTTAAAGGCAGATCCCGAACTTTTTTTCACACATATGTACATATGTAAAAGGTTATTTTTAATATTCTATACGCGTGCGTAACGTTGGTAACGCTACAACTATTGGCTGTGATTTTTAAATTCTCTGTGCTGACTTTGTTGTTAACAAACACAAACACACGCGCAAAGCGCAAAACGAAAAACGCGCGCACGTCTGCAGCGTATGAAAAACGCGATGGAAATGCTCTCTGCAAGAGAGTGCGGCTTGTAGTGTGACCGTTGATAAACTTTTAAAATTCCATATGCCGAGTGTGCGTCGATATTGTTATCGATTAGTCAAGTTCAAATTCGCCTTTGCAATAAGAAACCTTATGAGATGAATCCTTTTGCAGCAATTAACACTTATTCATGTTTTTAAGCTTTTTTGAATAACTTACTATTGTAATTATTATAAACCGCCGATTGTGCACTGAAAAATTGAGGAATGGGTTTCCTATAAATCAAGTAAAAATTATTCCAATAAAAACAATGTGTCTTTGTTTTTGATCAATAGCAAGAGTAAACATAAAAAAAAATTTTATTCAATAAAAACAATGTTTTTTTTTTAGGTTCAGCCCCAAGGGCGTACGCAGGGGGGGTCGTTGCCCCCCTAGAAAAAAATTTTCCATTCCACGTTCATTATTATGACGCACTATTTCGCCTTAAGATGGATCTGCGTTGGATTTGTTGAAGTTTTTCATCGATCATATGCATAAATTATTTTTTAAATGCATCGGGCATTATTTAATCAAAATTTTAATTTTTTGGCCCCCGCCTTTGGTAAAAGCTGGCTGCGCCCTTGTTCAGCCCTTTTTTTTAAAAGATTTGGAGCTTTTTCTATGTGCCGTTTAGGAAATTATACCTAATAGCTTGTTCAAATGCTCGGTGTTGAAAAGAAGTTTTAACTTTCCCGTGTAGTACTTATGTATGTATGTATATAAAAACGAAAATTGGATTATTTTGCGCCGATTGTTTTATGTACTTTCGAAATGATCGACTACACATAATTATGTACAAGCAATTTAACAATTATATCTACGCAACGGTCTGTATTTTGTGGTTTTGGTGTTGATTGCAAGGGTCATATTTTTTAGTTCTCCGCCTTCTCTTTCATGCCAGCAGCCTCGCTGCATTCTTCCATATCGTCGGTGTCTTCGCGCGAATTCTCTTCCTCATCGGAGCCTATTTTACTGACGTCGGGAGCCGTCTTTTTGCTGCTGTTACTGCTGCTGCTGGCGTTGCTTGCTCCAATACTGCTACTAAGAGTTCGATTGACGCTGGGAGCGATGTTGCTGTTGTTAGCCTCAGTGGCGCGATTAACATTGACCATTTTGATCTTGGCAGTGGCGTTAGTATTAAGATTGGTATTGCTGCTTTTATAGGCCGCAATAGCGGCTTTATAAAAGGAACTATTGGCCAGGCTGCTAGCCATCTCCTGCTGCCTGGTGGCCGCATTCACGGCACTTGTAATTGCAGCCACAGCACTGGGATTAGCATTTTGGGAGCCACCGCCATATCCACCATATTTGGGAGTTGGAGCAGCCTGACCTGGTGCCGTGTTGTTAGTAATATGCGGCAGCTGCGTGAATCCCAGGCCGCCAGGTGATGGAGGCATGTTGCGCCGCATTGGCTTGCCCATGGGACCACGGAAGCCCATGCTTGGTACGTTCAAGGTATCCATTTTGAAGACATGCTTAGGCGGGCCACGTACGCGTTGCTTCTCCACACGCAGACTCTGGAACGGTACAACAGTAACGCGCGGCTTGGGCTTGACCATAACGCGCTGAGCCTCGAATGCTTCATTCACTACCGACTCGCCAGCATTACCACCCACTGCATTGGTGGACGTTCCTGGATCCGCACGCTGCTGTTCATAATGCGGCTGAGAGTGCGCATTCACATCAGGCGGTAGCACGCCTTTGGCCAATTGCTGGCTGGCCGTCAGCTTGCCAATCTCGGGCAGCAACGTCGGCACGCGTACCGGAGCTGGCAAATTGGCATTGGTGCCCAGACCCAGACGTTGCTTCACATCGCTCATCGTTTGCTGTGCCGTCTGACGCGCCTTCTCGGCACCGATTTCCAGCATATAGATCAACTCATTCCGCTTGGCCAGATGCATTTGAATTTGCTCGCGGATGGGCTGGAGGTGCGCAATAACCGCATCGGCCACGCGCTCCTTATAACGAGCCGTGTCCAGCTGCTTGGCCTCCTCAACAATCGACTTGATCGATTGTCCCGTCACCAGCGCATGGATATTGACTAGGTTACTGACTCCGGGACGCCCAGAAAGATTAAACGAGATATCCGAAGTGAAGTCTGTGACGGCCTTCTTAATCTTCTCGGCAATTACATCGGGCGCATCGTTTATGTTGATGGTGGCCTTGGGATTGTTCTCCGATTTGGACATTTTTTTAGAGGGATCGCGCAGGGAGAGCACACGTGAGGCTTCGTTCTGCTCGATAAGAGCCTGACAGACGGGAAATATTTCACCGTAACGCGAATTGAAGCTGCGAGACAGATGCTGAGCCAACTGGATATGCTGCAACTGATCGGCACCAACGGGAACGTGGGTGGCTCTGCAAATAAAGGGCATATATAAATATAATGATGATGAAGTTCAATAAAACTATTTACACTGCAAAAATGCAAATGAATTATAATAATAAATGGCTAACAATTCGTAGGTATTTATGTATACACAGTTAGATTAAGAAAACTCGATAAAATACTTTGTGATGCTGAAACATACTCATTTTTGACTTTAAAATTACATTTAGTTACTCACTTGTAAAGCATAATGTCCGCAGCCTGTAGGACAGGGTATACGTATAGACCCAAAGGCACATCGCGCAGTGTGCGAGACTTCTCCTTGAACTGCGGCAGTTGCGCCAATCGTGGCATCGTTGTCAATGAGCTCAGAATCCAATTAAACTCGCAGTGCTCGAGAACGGCGGACTGCACGAAAAGAGTTGTCTTCGCCGGATCAATGCCGCATGCCAACAATGTGGCGGCCATTTCGAAGATGTTTTCACGCAACACCGGCGGATTGTGAGGCATTGTAATTGAGTGAAGGTCGACTATACATATGGTAACATCGTCACGGGCGTTCTGCAACTGAGTCCAACGACGCACGGCGCCCAAATAGTTGCCCAGATGCAAGGCGCCAGTCGGCTGTATGCCACTGAATATTTTGCGTGGATAGCGGGATGGGGCCTAAGCGATACAAACAAGCATATTACATAAACCAAGTACACCCAATTGCGTCAACTTACCTCGGCTTCATTGCTGGCGGTCGAGGACTGCTGGCCTAGTCGCTGCTGCAGCTGTTGCTGTTGCAAATGAGCCGATCCGGTGACCTGAGCCGTGGCAGAAATACTGCCCGCACCACTACCCGGTACCGGTATGCGTTGAAACAAATTGGTGCCGTTTTTAAACATCCGCCTCGCCAGCGACATGGGTTGGCGTTTTAGACCGTGTGCATTTAACTTACCCGCTCGGAACATTGTGTAAGAGTGTGTTAATTTTGTACCATGTGTTTTGTTTTTTTGTAGTTAAATAAAGAGAAATATCACAGCGTTTAAATAATATAGAGCCGAAAAATCGAATATAAATCTGTTGAACAAATTTTGACAAGAATAACATCTGATTTGAAAGTGTTGCCAATGTGTTTAATTCGTTTAAAGACTATCCAAAATGTCTGGCAGCGCCTGCTTAGTCAGCTGACGTTTTGCACTATTCACCGACTCTTGACATTAAAGAGTATTGAGTGCTGACAAGTGCATTCTACAGTTGCTGAGTCACATGGCACCGGCGTGACATTCAAATGCTGACTTTCATAGAAACATCGGATCCACTCATCAGTTTTAGAAGCACTGCCTTTTTAAATTTTATGTGAAATATTAAATCGCGCTTCAAAATGCTTACCTAATATTTATTCAGAACTAAATTTAATATGTAATTGATAATTTAAAAAAAAATGTGTACAACTTTTGTAGCAAAGTTGTTTATATGATTGGATCAATGAGTTTAAATAAAACTTTTGACAAAAGTTAGTTCCATTTCGAGTTTTAAACAGCTTTATTCTAAACTTAATACATATTACATTCTCAGATAGCTGTATTGCAAAACGCCTTGCGCATATACCAATTATTATGTGAATTTGAATTTATATTCCAGATGTATCGTGATACAATTAGAACATTGAATTTGAGTGTTTTTCGTTTGTGTATTTATTTATATCCGTTAAATGTTCGTAGGGTTTTCCAGCCGTAAGTGCAAGAGAAGTGGGTTCTGGCAGCAAAGTGCTAGGATTGTTGTGGATGTTATCTGTTGGGGACGACACTTAGAAATTGATGGGCTTGCCAAAAGCTGCTGCCACATTGGCTTCGCGCAGAGCCTCAGCGCATGTCTATGAAGAAACAAATAAAAATAATTATAATTTTACACAAATACGTGATTATATGTATGTGATTTATATTAATCCCTTAATCCCACTTACCGGATGTGCATGGCAAACGCGTGCAATATCTTCGGCAGCCGCTCCATACTCCATGGCCAGCACAGCTTCATTGATCAGCTCACCAGCAACAGGTCCAATGATGTGTGTGCCCAGCACACGATCCGTTGCCTGGTCAGCGAGGACCTTCACAAAGCCGTCGGTATCATTGTTGGTCTTGGCGCGCGAGTTTGCCAGGAAGGGGAATTTGCCGACCTTGTAGGCAACTCCTTCTTGTTTGAGTGCCTCCTCAGATTTGCCAACCCACGCCACTTCGGGATGCGTATAAACCACACTAGGCACGCAATTGTAGTCGATATGAACATGACCGCCATTTATGCCCTCGATCGTTATTAAGCCTTCATCCTCGGCCTTGTGCGCCAGCATGGGACCGTGAATGCAATCGCCAATGGCATAGATATTGGGAACCACTGTCTGGAAGGTGGCATTGACGGGTATGCGACCACGATCGTCCTTGACAATGCCCACAGCTTCCAGACCGAGACCCTCAGTATAGGGACGACGTCCCACGCTGACTAGCAGAGCATCACATTGGATTTCCTCCTTTTCACCGGACTTGGCATTCTCTACGGACACGCTCACGGTGTCGCCGTTGCGCTGCGCAGCCATAACCTTGGTACCCAGCTTGAACTTAAGTCCTTGCTTTGTGAGCACCTTCTGGAAGGTCTTGGAGACCTCACCGTCAATGCCTACACCGCCGATGGTATCCATGAACTCAATGGCAGTAACCTCAGCGCCAAGACGCGACCATACCGATCCCAATTCCAGGCCAATGACGCCAGCGCCAATGACAACCATACGCTGTGGCACCTTCGCTAGCTTCAGAGCACCCGTGCTGCTCACAATGACCTCCTCGTCAATCTAAAAATGTAAAATTTCGATCAGAACATGTTATACGTTATGCTTCAGTCCAAACTTACTGTAATTCCGGGGAAGGGCGTCACTTCAGAGCCGGTGGCAATCAGAATGTTCTTGGCCTTTACCGTTTCTGTGGTGCCATCATTTTTCTTCACCTGCACCTCATTTGGGTTGACAATGCTGCCAAAGCCGGTTAGTTGTGTAACTTTGTTCTTTTTGAAGAGTTGCGCAATGCCGCCGGTTAGGGCCTTCACAGCATTCGTCTTCTGTCCCATCAGCTTTTCTAAATCGAGGGAGACGCTACCGACATTAATGCCACGACTGGCCAAATCACCAGAATGTGCCATGTGATAGTAGTGCGAGTTGTTTAGCAGCGCCTTCGAGGGTATGCAGCCCACATTAAGGCAAGTGCCGCCCAATGTGGCCTCCTTTTCCACGCTGACAGTCTGCAAAGTGTGCCCATTAAGTGGAATTACATTTGAATTACAGTTAATTAAGTGATTTTCCGGTCAAGTTCTCCCACCTTCATGCCCATTTGGGCCGCTTTTATAGCCGCCACATATCCACCGGGACCAGAGCCAATAACAACAATGTCCGCTTCATGTGTGGTGGAATAGCAGCGTGCGTTGAGGGCGCCTAATATAGCCGCATTGGTACGCAATGGCGTCTGAAAGCATACAAAAAAAAGACGGTTGAAAGAACACCAACTAACACAGTTTGAGAGCAATCAACAATATAGGGGCAGCTGCGGCATTTTTGGGCATTCTGCACACTCATTTAGATGACACGCTCTTAGCACGCACTTAACATCACAAAAATGAGTTGTGCCGAATATGTTTGTTTCTGTATCAGCTGATAATTGGTTTAATAAACGACCTTGACACTCGACAAGTTGCGATTAGCATTTAACATTAACAGTTTAGGCACCACCGGTAAATTATTTAGGCAACATTTTAGCCATCCGCAAAAATTTTGTGAGCGCGTGCTATTTATTCCGCTGCATAAATGCATTTAATGCGAAAGTTATGACCCAATTAGGTTACATTGCATAACCATCAAATAGGATTTCGTGCTGCTGCACAATGTTTTCTTAAACGTTCCTACCTTGGCCATGGCTTTAACAACAGTACGTAGCGTCAACTGCATATTTGTTTTTGTGTTGTTAACGTGTATTTGTCAAAACTTGAAAACTCGGCACGATTTTACGGTATTTCCTACTGAATTTTGACTAAACCACAACGGCTGGCCAGGAGGGCATAAATAGTGTGCAAATGGGGGTGTGCAAATTAACCAGTTGTGTTGTGGAGTTGCCACTTTGACATAAATCGATAGTCATGCACATTGCTATCGATAATGTATCGAGGGTGTAGCAGCACTAGCGTCTAGAGATCACAACAAATTGCATTTTGTATGGCAATAAATGTGCGAAAAGAAACAGTAAAAGGGCAAACTAATTGCCTGCAAATGCCTAAAAGTGTAACCAAGTGATTTAAATTTAAAAAGTACACTAAGTGACGTTTTATGCGTATGTTGGTGGGTTCGCTGGCCCGCTTCGAAAGTTGCTTCGCTCGCAACGTCGACTAGCCAAGGCAGCAGAGACCTTCTGGCCCTATTGCCTGCTGCTGTTGTTGTTGTTATCGTCGTCGTCGTTGTGTAGGTGTAGTTGTGAACTGGGTGCGTTGCCAATATGATGAACAACTACGGAAACATAATGATGGACTCGCCAAAGTCGTCGCCGCATGGTGGTCGATCTCCGGTGGTGGCACGTCAAGACTCGTCGGGTACCCTAAAGACGACCATATCGTTGGGAAAAACACCAACGATAATACAGACGGGACCGTTCTATTCGATGAAGGAACCACCAGCAAAGGCGGAACTGACCGGTGATAAGGATCTCATGACCGAATATGGCCTGCATCATACGCTGACCAAGTTCAAAGAGAAAAAGTTCAAGGAATCACTGGCATCGTTTTTGCCCAACATACCCGGCATCAATGACCTAATCACGCATCCCGTCGAGAATAGCACGTTGCGTAGCGTCATCGAGAAGCCGCCCATCGGAGGCAAAGAACTGTTGCCTTTAACTGCCGTGCAGTTGGCCGGCTTTCGTTTGCATCCAGGACCGGTAAGTTATTGGACGTGAACGCGCAGAACCATATTAACATTTCATATTTTCTGCCCACAATTAGCTGCCGGAACAGTATCGCACTACATATGCCACACCTGCGCGCAAACATAAGAACAAACATAAAAAGCACAAACACAAAGATGGCGTCACTATTGGACAGGAGTCAACGCTCTTGGGTGAGTCTTTTGAATGTCCGTGCTTGGAGCAGTGCTTGAGTTTAGCAGTTGATTTTACAGATTCCGCTGGCCTGGAAACTTACGAAAAGAAGCATAAAAAGCAAAAGCGTCACGAAGACGACAAAGAGCGCAAGAAACGCAAAAAGGAGAAGAAGCGCAAAAAGAAGAATCAAAGTCCCGAACCGGGCGCTGGCCTTGTGGGACTACCTGGAACCGGTCTTGGAGGTAGCACTGGTGGTGGCGGAGTCATGGGCGCCACTAGCCTAGGAGCACTGAGTGCTAGTACGGGTCTCGGCAATTTGGGTGCTGGTAGTGTGGGCGGCTTAGGAGCGGGTGTGGGCCTTAATAGTTTCCCTTCCTCGCTACAACAAATGCAACAGCAGATGCCGATGCAGCAGACAATGCTGCAGGGTGCCAGCAGTGGTGGGCTTTTGGGCTCCGTTTTAGGGACAGGCAGCAATGCGGGTGGTGCAGGCAGTGGCGGCGCAAGCGGCGGTGGTCCAGGCAGCTTACTAATGTCGCAATTCTAGGAGACAAACATCGGCCACAGGTGTTAGTTATAGACTTGGCTCATTACCTCTCACACTCAACCCATGCAACAACAGAAACGACAAAAACCAACAACAGGTGTCCTCAATGCACGCTCTAAATGCAATTTTCGATAATGCTTCATGTTTAGCTCTAAATTATTTAAGTGTAACATAGCTTAATTTTTAATTAGCAATCTTCTATATTCGTTTTAGTAATTTTTAGCACGCTAGCTTAACCAGATTTATTGAATGCAAATTATGGTACAAAATCCAAATATTTTTGGTTCAGTTCTTAAACGGCCCCTATACACACTCACTTTACCTTAACAGATCACCCCGAATGTATTTTTTATAGGTTTCATGCATAAATTTTTTTTGCAGTATTTTCTTTTGTTGCAATGGTTTGTTCTTCCAGCGCGTTTCTTAAATAGTTGAGATTCAAATGGTTTTTGAAAAACAAAAAAATTTTGAAATAATAGTAATAACCTTTTGTAAAATGCATTATTTATTACGTATGTATGAAAACAGAATTGTGTACTATAAGTAATTTTTAAGCATAAATCTAGTTTAATAAAAAAAAAGTACTAGTTATACATTCTGCTAAATAAATTTCTTAAAACATATCGATTTAAAATTGGCAGCGCCCATAAAAAGTGTTACCAATTGGCACGCAGCAAAAAGGTGGCAGGCACAATTACAAACAGCTGATGCTTTTGCCAAGATTTACGTTAAATAAATTATTAGTGAGATGCCTTAATCTGACAATGGCCGGGAGAAACAGTCAATTAACCCCTTCTAATCGGTCATCAAGCCAATCTCGCAGCAGCAATAGCAAACAATTTAAGCAAACCTGCACCCAGTTACTGGATTTGCCACCTGCCAAGGTGACCGAATGGCTGCAAAGCTTTGATGCCGTCATCTCTGATTGCGATGGTGAGTATGTGTGTGTATACCGGCAAATATGAATGAAATTTAACGAAAGGACAAGTGATAAAAATACAATAAGGTTATTGCGTAATGTTGATTATGAGGAGATGTATGCATAAATCCTTACATAAATTGTAATGTCTATATGTATATGCTATGCATGTTTGTAATGCGTCAACTCGCATGAACGACTAATTAACCCGTCATTGTTTAGTGGCGTGTGTACATATGTATGTATGTATATGTACTCGCACACATGTACATACATACAACGTATGCTCGTGAGCGCACAACTTTCAATGTCAAACTTGTTTATGCTCAGCCAGCCCGACCACTTGGTACCGCTACTTATGTATACGCATATTTATGAATTGCGTGCTAATTTAGTAGACTTTGTATCTACAGCTGTCTTTTTTTCATGTTCATTTCTTACTAGTCCTACAATAATAGCGAATAACTAATAAGCCCAATAAATAAATAGATGGTGTAAATGGATTGCTTTTGGAAAATAAAAAAAATTAATCATTTGACGGAAGAGCTATTTTTTCGTTCCTTATTACCAAAAGTGTAATCATAAGTTGTAAAGTTTGATGAACAAAATGTATTTCAAATCGGAATCAAAATATTACTTTGTAATAAGAAGAACTTTAATTTTAGTGACTAGTTTCTATATATTGCTCACAAACATACTCTATAAGTATAACTATGTTAAAATAATAAACCGATATTTTTCGGATTATACATAAATGTAGATCTATGTATATGCTCTTCAAATTCTTTATAACGTCAATATTCATACATATCTATATATTTTAAACGCTCTTTGGTTGCAGGCGTTCTTTGGGTGTATGGAAAGGCCATTGAAGGCTCTGTCGATGTCATGAACCAACTGAAATCTATGGGCAAAAGCATTTACTTTTGCACAAACAATTCAACGAAGACCCGTTCGGAACTTTTGGTCAAGGGCGTAGAGTTGGGCTTCAACATCGACCAGAACAGCATAATATCGACTGCGCATGCAACGGCTGCCTATTTAAAGCAGCGGAACTTCAACAAACGGGTCTATGTTATCGGTTCTACCGGCATTACCCAGGAACTGGATGCCGTGGGCATTAAGCACACCGATGTGGGCCCCGATCCCATGCCAGGCTCGTTAAATGAATTCATGACGCAGCATTTAAAACTCGATACGGACATTGGAGCCGTTGTGGTAGGATTCGATGAGCATTTTAGCTTTCCAAAAATGACGAAAGCGGCCACGTACCTGAACGATAAGAAATGTCTTTTCATTGCCACTAACACGGATGAGAGATTCCCGATGCCCACGCATGTGGTTCCCGGAAGCGGCAGCTTTGTACGTGCCATACAAACGTGTGCGGAACGCGAACCATTTATTATTGGCAAACCAAACCCAGCCATATGTGAGCAATTGATCCGTGCAAATAAAGTAAATCCGGCACGCACCCTAATGATTGGAGATCGTGCCAATACCGACATATTGTTGGGCTATAATTGCGGCTTCCAGACCCTGTTGGTCGGCTCGGGCATCCATCAGTTGAGCGATGTGGAACAGTGGAAAAAGAGCAACAATCCCGAAGATAAAAAGCTTATTCCGGATGTTTATCTTCCAAAATTGGGAGATTTACTGCCCGCCCTACTTACTGACAGGGCCAATATCTACTAAGTTGCAGGGATTAAATATTTGTATTTAAATGCACAGAGACGCTACCTGAATTAACAGAAACTTTCAAATAGACATGTATTTTATTTAGCAACCAATGTTATACAAACGTAACTAGTACAATTTGTATTAAAAAATAAAACCAATTTTAATTTACACTGACTGATCCTATTCATTCTCACATGCCCCACAAAAACATACATACATTTCGTTTGTAGCGCAGTGTGCGAGCGAGAGGGACAATACTTAGCCAATTTTGCCAGTATTTTGAGTTCAGTTGAGGCATAAACACTCAGTGGTTCGGATCGGTCGACACAGCGTCAATCATAACCATGTCCAAGGCGGGCGTCGTCAACTTGTTGGATTTGCCGCCACTGCAGGTGACCGGCTGGCTGCAAACATTTGATACGGTTATCTCGGACTGCGATGGTGAGTGTGTGTTTCCATGTGTGTGTGTGTGTGCATTGGTGAGGAATTTTTTCTGCGACACAGATGTGCTTGGTTCGGAGCTAGAGGTGGGATGAGCCATGTTTTTGATCGTGATCGTGTTCCGATATCGTGACTGTTCGCGTTTGACTCAAAAGGGCACAACAAATAAACCTAATTTATTCAACCTATTTTATTTGAGGAAATGTATTCTATTTTTAAAAAATTTAATTTTATAAATGATTTTGTTTCTACAAAACCAACCCCGTTCGATTATGCTTAACTTAGTAATTGAACCTTACATGCTGGAAATAATTTCTATTATTGTGATTATTTCCGATCGGTCAATTAAATTTGTATGTTTCTTATAAACTATTATGATGTACATACATACATAGGTTGTAAAAAATGCCAGCCAAATACAGTTTTGCCAATATCTATTCTATGTATTAAAAGTCGGTCTCTATAAAATGTTTGAAAATGTTACAAAATTTAATTGGATTATTTAAAAATAGAAGAAGTAGAACCGTTTTTATTACCTAAAGTATTCAAAGATAATTTAAAAATGAAATTAGAAAATGAATTATTTGTAATATTATTATTTAGTACAAGTCTATCATCTAAATATTCTGTATAAAAAATTAATCTACCGTTAAACATGCAAATTGTTTGGCCAGAAATTTGTGTTATTTTCCTAAAAAATGTTTGTTGTCAAAAAAAAACTATATTTTAGTTTAGAATTACAATTCGTTTTAATTGAAAAAAAAATATATATATATAATCATGACATATAAATTAATATTTTGATCTATTAAATTTGGAACTTAACCTTAACAAATAAAATGTTTACCAGTGTTATTCAATTTTATTGAAAAAGTTTTCAAATATTATAAATAATTGAAGCAACAATTGGGACAACGACAGCATTTCTTTGCAGGTTTGCTAAAATATTTCCCCGTTTAATATTATTATATACAGACCTATCATCTGAACATTCGAGAAAAAACGAACAAGTGAAAACTCTGGGTACAAAACATCCCATAAGTATTCAAATCATAGAATAGAAATAATTTTTTGAAATCTTAATTTGCATAATTTTTTTAATGTTAGATTATTTTACTCTTATTCAAATTAAAATATTTGGCAATAATTTTAAAAACATAAATATCTTAAAGATTTCATATACGTGTATATATGTATTAGGAATTTTTAAATATTGGTATTTCTCTATTATCTTAATAAATTTAAGTTAATTAGAATATTTTTTATTTTTAATATGCGCTAGCCACCTTGTGGCATGATGATGTGGCCATACCCGGGGCAGCTGATGTGCTGAATTTGTTGCAAAGACGGTTCGGCAAACGCGTCTATCTGATCACCAACAACGGCACCAAGACTCGGCAAGAAATCTTTGAGCGGAGTCAGCGACTAGGCTTTGAGCTGGCCAGTGAAGCGCAGATCATATCACCCACCTCCACAATTGTGAATTATCTGAGGCAGTCGGACAAGTTCGATGGGAAGAAACAGAGAGTTTATGTGGTGGGGAATGCGGCGATCGAGCGAGAGCTGTCAGGGGCTGGTATCGAGAGCTTTGGTGCTGGAAAACCAGAGCAGTTGGATATTAAGTGGCAGGATTTTGTGGAGCGTGAATTTTCGACGCCAACGGCTGCTGTTGATGTGGGCGCTGTAGTTGTAGGCTGGGATGAGCATTACAGTTATTGCAAAATGGCTCGGGCCTGTCACATCCTGACAGCCAACCCCGACTGTGCCTTCTTGACGACCAACAAGGATGCAGTGCACAAGTATCCAGCCTACCACATACCGGGGACGGGGGCTTTTGTGGCTGGCATCGAGGCATGTGCGGAGCGAGAAGCCCTCGAAATGGGCAAACCAAATCCATTAGTTCTGGAGCCCTTGTTGAAGGGGAGTGCTTTGGATGTGAAGCGCACGCTCATGGTTGGCGATTGGTGAGTATTTTTATACCTCAAACCCATCTGATATTTCTCTGACATCTCGCTTATATAGTCTCAAGATCGATGTGAGCTTTGCCAGAAACTGTGGCATGCAATCTTTGCTGGTGGGTACAGGAAGCTATCAACTGGAAACTTTGCATGCTTTGCAGGCAGACAGTAGTGCCAGTAATCCGTTAGTGCCAGATGTTTATCTGCCCAAATTGGGCGATTTGTTGCCTTATATATGATCAATTTAAATCAATTTTCCATTGCATTGTAATTCCATTTTTATGTATGGAAAATGTAACTCCAATATATACATCTAATCATTTTAATTAAAACGCTCAGTTCTCGTATTGCTATTAGAGATAATTGTGGGAGCCAAGTCTTTAAATAGTTAAGCATGATGGCAAACATTAAAACAAAGCAATATCTGCTGTAATTATAGTTGAGTTGTTCTAAGCTCCGAATTCAGAGAAAATAATAATTAAAAAAATGATTTGTTCATAAACCCAATATTTTCGAGCGCACCAAGGTGTATGCTTTACAAATTTAAAAATTTAGTTGAAAATTTTCGTTAAAACATTAAAAGCTTGCTCGATGGGAAAAAAAAGTTCCGAAGACGTTGCGGATACATTATAAAATATAAGATCCCTTTTCAGGACTTCTTCGTTTAAAGGTTGAAATAATAGTATTAAAAAGTTTCTTTATTCTTACATTTTTATAAATCGTTTTAAAAAGTGTAATTACGTACATAAACATGTTTCTAAACTATCGAATGTTAAAAATGATTTTGAATTATTAAAATCTTAAATGCCTAATTTAAAACAGTACAATGAGAATATGAATTAGAGTACCTAGTATGTTAAAACGTAAACAAAATAATTCTTTTAAAAATCCCGTTTAGCTAACACTTTAGCAATAGCCTTCCTGAGTTGCACAAATTTTTGCAGATAAGTTTTCAGAGCGATTAGGTCAGGGCGGTAGGGAGCCAGATTACCAGTGGCTGCAAAGGCCTGCTTTGCGCTTTGCAAACGGGCTTTAATGATATCGGGTTCGAGCAGTTGGGCAGCAGAGAGTTCCGCATCCGTTGAAACTATGGCCGAGAGCAGTGCAGCAATTTCTTTGCTAAAACCAAATTTTTGGTCAATTGGCTTATTGCTCTCCACGAGTATTGTGTGGGACAACCCTCTTGGCGTGTGGAGTGAAAAGGAATCCTCCTGCGGAAACAAGCGCGCGGCTAATTATTTGAGAACACAACTTAAATATCATCTATGTACCATTACAATTGTGTTGGTTACGTGACTTGTAACACTAAAATCCTTTTGTGGCACCAAAAGGATCTGTTCAGATAACTGATGTTCTTTAGCCGGCACTAATTCGTAGCCCTGTGGTACGCTTCGGAATCCGGGATGCAGGTCTAAAAGTTTCAGTTGATTTTTCGTACTCTCTTCCAATTTATAGGATTTAATGTTGGGTAGCACATCGCGTACAAATATGGTGCACAATTCAAGTGCTGTTGCATTACGGCATTCATCCAAATGATCGGCCGAAAACTCCTGCCATTCATTTATTTCCTGGATATTAAAAAGGCGACAGGACGTGGTTGCGTATTCGATGAGAGCCTTATAGAAGTGCGGCAATGACTCTACCCGTACTGGAGTAGAGGCATTTGGCTCGGCGATGTTAGCCACGAAAGTCGTAATATTTGTAGACGAGTCCATTTCGTCTGTTGCGAACTGACAATGCAATAAGATATAAATTCAAGTTCCCACCTTGCAACTAATTTAACATGGCTGGTAACTCTAAGCATTAAAGCTATCGAAAATATCATATTTATCGCGTTTGCCCTGGTAAGCATCAAATACTAGTAGTTCCTTTCATGAACTAATTCAGAACGTAACGACAGGTGTTTCGTTTCAGCCCTGGTCAAAAACAACTAAGTAAACATTTCCATACACCAGATGGACGAGGAACTGAAATTAATAAACAATGATTTACGCAGCATGTTAGCCAAGCTGTCAACAACGCCTGGAGCGGACTCTTTGGAGCAGCGCAAGGAGAAGATTGCTTTGCTCATAAAACTGCATGTGCAACACATTCAGCATATTGTGATTATGAAGAGGCGACGCTCGCAGCAAAGAGCACAACGTCGCCTCCGCATGCTACGCACATTTTTCATGCAACAAATGATGCAGCTACAGACCCAATACGTGCAAATGTTTACCTTGCTGCGGAAAAAACACTTGGCTCTTAGAGCAGCCGCTCCCACTCCTATGCGGATGGAGTTTCTAGAAGAGGCCATGCAGAATTATGATGACGATATGTTCCTGAACACATTTCACGTGACACGACCCACCTTTAAGTGGCTCTGCACAAAGCTTACCCCATCACTCAGTAAAGTTGGAGAACTGAAGAAAAGTCAATTTCCGATATCGCCGCAGAAGTGCATTGCTTTGGCCCTTTACTTTCTTGCCAGTGGAGAGCCCCTCTCGATGATATCTGAGCGTTGTGGCTTGATCAACAGGCGCATAATCAAGTGCATCAAGATATTCTGCACTGTCTTAGTAAGAGGTCTTGGAAGGTATTTGCAATTGCTGCCACAAACCGTTGAAGATTGTGATAATGTAGTGGCCGGTTTCCAAAGGGAAAGCAATATGCCGCCAGCTCTCGTTGGTATCTTGGGCGTTTGCATTGTAGAGAAGCGCCAGACCCCAGGCACGCTGCTTCGCATGGAGTATCTGCTCGATGATCGAATGAATTTTCGTGAGCTTCAGCTGAGCTCTGGTAGTAGAATGCCACCATCTCCTATGTACAGCCAGCCTCCCAATGCACTCACACGCCTGCCACGCCGTTGCATCAATGAGCATATGGTGTCACCTTTTGTGTTGGCGCCCCTCAACCAAAAGTTCCCGCTACGCCCATGGCTGCTACAGCGCTATCAGAACCCGTCAGCTCCATACGAATACCATTTCAACGAAGTGGCCGAGCACCTACACGAGCTCAGCGACTGTGCGCTCCATAGGTTGGCGTCTCGCTGGCGTTTCCTTAGCGAACCTTTGGATATCTGTTTTGGAACCGCCTTTACTGTAATTACAGGCGCCTGTGTGCTGCATAACATGCTGGAGGAAATGGGCGAGCCCCATATGCTAGAATGGGGAAACACCGTTGATGTGACCAGGATGAAACCAATGCCTTTCATCCCCCAAACGGATACCAGTGAAGAAGCTGAACAAGCGCGAGATGTCCGCGATTTTCTGGCACGCACCATTAGGTCGACCCCAACAGAAATATGATACGGCTTAAATATAATTTAAGAAATAAAATGCCAGGTTTTTTACATTTACATTATGTAAAAATGATTTTTATTGAACACATTAGTTTATAAAAACTTGCATCCAAATTTTAGTAAAGACGCTGAGGAGGGCCCATCGATGACTTGATGTGGAGGGACCTCACGTTTTGCCAGTTCTTCTTCAGCAGCGACACCAAGAAGTTGATAGACAAGCTGATGTTCTGGACAAGTTCGTCCTGCTTCATGCCAACGTGGCCGACAGCGACAGACAGGCACAAGACTTTCTTCATCTGGAACTTGATGGTCGACTTGACCTCCTCAATTTTGGCCATCATCGATTCCTGGTGGGACAACAAAGCAGGGAACTTGCCAGCCTTGTTAAGACCAGGGCCCAGCAGACGAGGTATCTGCTTGATGAGCGACTCGGAAGCCAAGAATGCATCATAGGACTTGGCCAGTTTCTTTACCAACTTCTTATTCTTGTTTAGCTTCTTCAGGGCTTCAGCATCCATGCATTCGACGTTGTTGGCATTCGCCTCGTCGCAATGCTGCTGATCGCCAAGAATGCACACCTTCATCTTGGGACGGGGGATGTGCTTCAATCTGCAAATTACATGAAACATTTTTTTTATTACATACAACTGGAAAATCTTCAGATTTTTTTCAAGCTACGTCATCACTTACGCTGCTCTCCCAGCGGAGTGCACGTGTAATAAGTACAAAATTTTAACCTAGGGCGGTTTCATTACTGAAACCTGCTCAATTTGATTTTAAGACCCTGAGTGCAGGTCCGCCAAGCTGTGCGAGCACAGGACTTGACTTCCTGACGCTGTAAACCTCACTGTATGTGCATGTACATGTATAAACGGGGCCATTAGGCTCACAAGCAATGCACATAAGCAAGCCCAGCGCAGGTATTTTAGCCAACGTACTTGACAGTGCCGGAGAAACGCTTGTCCTTTTGAGGATCGTAGTTCTTGAGGCCAATTTGAAGTTCCACGGTCTCCAGGAAACCGCGCTTCTTCTTCAACGAGTGCTCCAATATACCACTGACGCCCTCATAGAGAGTGTCACGGGAAACCTTCGACCTGCAATGCAAATAAGTTGATTAGTTTCTGGAATTATGTGCAGATAACCAGCAATAAATAATAATAGAACTGTATAAAATTGTGTAAGCGATTGCAACTTTCACACTAGTCACAAATTTAACACAACAATTAAATTTACTATTGCAATCTTTTCCAAACTGATGTGGACATTGAAGAGCTCCAAAAAGCTGGTTTTTAGATTGCCAAACCAAAAAATAAACAGCAATATGCACGGACCAGCATATTATTAACAAAAAATCAACATATTTAAAAACATTTCCCCTAAGATGCCCTAATATTTTTAAGATTTCATTTTGCACCAACTTACGCCATGTCTAGTCTTTATGCCGCGTGTGTAGCGAAAGAAAGAAAATGTGTGCAGCGATACAACTGGTAACATCGGGACATTCGATAACACGCAGCTACTCGATATTGTATTCATAAAGTTCTGCCATCTCGCTTCTACAGCCAGGCTTACTAAGTAAATGAAGATCTGGCAATACTTTCGTAATTTCATCAATAGCTGCGATTTATTAAATTGTGTTCATTTAACGCATTATTTTTATTATTAACCTGTCATTTATATATTTGTGTTAATCTGAATGTGATTATAGTAGTACGGTTAGCGGCGAGTAAATATTGACCATAGAATCGAACATCCTCACCAATAATCTAACGTATTACGTATTTCAAAAATAAAAACAAAGAGCCAGCGACACAAAGAGAAGTGTGAATTGAGAAGAGTTTGTATGCCAACAAAGAGCAAGTGCGTGGGCAGGTACGTCAACGAAGCTTAAGGCAAACAAAACATTTCCATCCGTGACGCTGTGTCCGCCGCCCGCTATTCAGTGCGTTTCTGTTGGCCAACGTCGTCTGCACATCGGGATTTGCGGGAAATATTGTTGCAGGCGCAGTGCCGAGGTCTGTGTACGTGCGTGTGGGAGGGAGCGACTACGTCAGTGTACTTGATGTCTGAAAAGCAGAATTATATAATAATAATTCCAAAAGTGCCGATTGATTTTTCAACATCACAATCATAGCCTTGCAGCTGCATATCGCAGATATTGTTAAACTCCTTCAAATCCCAAGCCTTTGGATATGGCTCGTCCCGTCATTGAAAACCATGTAAGTTACGACACTACTATATAAGCATCATCTTTACATAAGATTTGGGTGTCCCGTACCTATGCCTGAGATTTCATAATTGTTATAAATAATTCTGCCGGTCTGCTTAAATTAGTGGACATATCGGTGTGGTGGGCACATGTACATACACTAATATACATACGCAGATATGTACAAGTAGGCACAGAATTAAGTTGTCATTTCTTATTTTAAATACGTCTATTCGCCTCGATTAAAATTGCGTTGAACATAATACATTTGTTCCAACAATATACTGTACCGAATGTGTACAAACATATGTACATATATTATTTAGTGATGTCATGCGTCAATGAAAGCATGTTCGCATAACAATAAATTTTTGAATTTTTTTTTTAAATATTTGCCGGGTTTTATTTGTCTTCATTTAAAAACTGACCACAGACATTATGTTTTAAGCTTAAAGAGAGGAGACAAAAATAAAGAGAATTAATGAAATAAAAATTCGTTAGACATCCTCTCCATTTTATTAGTTTTCATTTCATTCAGTTTCAAAAAAAAACTTTAATGATGTCATTCCTTCTGTTCAATCAATTTTTTCCTAAACAAATGATTTTCTCTTATTAGTTTAACTCGCGTGTTCATACAGCGAACGTAACTCGTTTATTATTAAATCAGCTGTTTTGCTTTAAAATGTACTCGCTCCATTGTAAAGATTTATCAAAAACAAACACACGTTTTCTCTTTATCATACGCTAACAAAAATTCTAAATCTCAAAAATATGCGCACACTCATCAGAGATTTGAATTTATAGCTTACTGTTTTGCTCTCGCCGGCTTGTTGCTCTTAGCTCTCTCGCCCGAAACTTTTTGCTTATCATCATTACATTATATTTACAATCACACAAATAAATATTTTGATTAGTTACTTAGTTTTAGGTTTGGCTTAAACCTAAATTTATGTTAAAATATCTTTGAAAAAACAAGTTACAAGTTACCAGACATATCTTTGCGGTTTTTTTTAATTTTTTTAAATGTATCTAAAGTAAATTGCTGCTAAAATGTTCAACTTATCAAATATGAAAAAATAATGGTTCTAAAAATAATTTTAATTTTCTAGGCGACCATTGATTGATTTTTAGTTACTGACAGTTTCCCATTAGCAAATGTTTAGCTCATGAGCTGGTTAGGGTTACCACTTCACTAAACAAATTTATGGATAGGGTCTTAAAATTTTAATTTCATTTCCAATTCGGGTAAATAAAAATCTGCTTTAAAATATGATAATGTACAAAATGATGTACATCTTATTAATCCCGTAAAAAACATTTTTTTCTAATGTGGGTATATAATAAATGTTTATCTCAAAAATGAATACTTTGGCTATTAAATTCGTTTCAGTTTTTTATGTGGCCTTATTTTGTTATGTTTTAATATATTTACTTAAATACTTACACTTTTGCTACTTTGTTAAAGCTTTGAACCTTTAGTCGGAAATGGCTATTAATGACAATACTTTGATGTGACACTGTGTACTTACTGGCGACTTGACTGCCTCGTCACCCAGTGGCCACTTCACGCGTCGACTTCATTTCAATTGGAAATCGTGCGAGGCAACACGCGGTTCGTTTGTTTCAGTCTACTTAGTCGTTTTACTTTCAACGTCTGCGGTTCGTCTAGCTTTGACAAGTAATTTTTTTTGCAAGTCAAATTGGAAAATAGACAAATCTGTTTTAAATTAACAGCAAGTGTGGGAAAAAATGACGGAGTTGGATGTAAGTACATATATCGGAAAACCGTTTAAGGGAAGAGCGCGCATAAAATTCTACTCTCTATTTTACTAAAAGCGCCTACTGGCGCTCTGTTTATCAGCACTCTTTCTGTGACGTCATTATTAATTGGCCGCTGTGCTCTCTGAATGGTGTGTGTGTGTTTTAAAACGCACTTCAAAAGCGCTCACAATTTCCAAGGTCAGAATTGTGGGTTAACTTAACTTGTCACCGCTGCTGCAGCTGCGCGGCTCTTGCATGCGGTTAGATAACCCCAATCGAATCAGTATTGACTTTTGGACGCCATTGTGTAATATCTTGGGTTTTTTTTTGTGAAAATGCTCTACCATATGTGTCGTATCAGAAATATTTGTTTCTCTCTGCTTTAGTCTCCTCATTTCTGTACACACTAAACTAGCAACAGCTTTACGCGTTTGCTGTCGACAGATCTTGACCCCTAATCGGCAACATTAGCTCGACGTATTACGTACATATTTTGACGTTGTATATTCTCATATTCCCGCCTATGGGGTATGTTTCAAAGTCAGGCTAATTCCGCGTGATATTTCTAAATCATAGATTAATGCATTAGAGTGTACTTAAATAAATATTAGGGTGCTTTCATAACGTTTAAAATTACGCAAATATACTATTCATTTGTGCATACATATATTCATGAAGTATCTCATTTGGGATTTACACTCCTAGCTTTTGTGATTTTTTTATGTGAAGAAAAACATTTTAAACGAAAACTTGTAGGTAAAAATTAAAAAATAAAATGTTATCTTCTGATGCGGAAATTTTATTTGCTCTTGCTGGCCAGCTATGTCCCGATTCTAGCCTTAAAGTATTCAGAGACATAACAAGAACAAAGTGAGAGTAAAAAAAAAATAAAAATAATTTCGAAAAAAAAAAATTACAGGAAAACAATTTTTTAAAAATAAGGTTTTAGTTCACTTCCAACTTCGAACTATAATATTTTAATATCTTTCCAGCTTGTGCCGATTGTAGTGGGTGTGGTTGCTGTGGTTGCCGGGGCCCTTATTGTACACTACTTTCTGAACAAAAAGTCAACGAAACCGAAACGTGAACCAAATCGTACTGCCCGACTTCGCACTCTGGTCGATCCTAACGACAAATACCAACTGCCTTTGATCGAGAAGGAGGTGCTCAGTCATGATACGAGACGATTCCGTTTCAGTCTGCCGTCCAAGCAGCACATACTTGGCCTCCCAGTGGGTCAACACATTCATCTAATCGCGACCATTGACAATGAATTGGTCATACGGCCGTACACACCCATTTCGTCCGACGACGATGTTGGCTATGTGGATTTGATTGTCAAGGTGTACTTTAAGGATGTAAATCCCAAGTTCCCAGCTGGTGGTAAGATGACGCAGTACCTGGAGAATATGGAGCTGGGCGACAAAATCTCGTTCCGTGGACCATCCGGACGTCTGCAGTACTTGGGCAACGGTACATTCTCCATCAAGAAACTGCGCAAGGACCCACCCAAACATGTGACGGCGAAGCGTGTCAACATGATTGCCGGCGGCTCTGGCATTACACCCATGCTCCAACTGGTGCGCGAAGTGCTCAAGCGCAATGACAAAGACAAGACCCAATTGGCTTTGCTGTATGCCAACCAGGTGAGTGAGCTTTGATATAAAACTGTGTGTATATCAAATATATATATAACTCATTCTTTGCAGAGCGAGCAGGACATTTTGCTGCGTAACGAGTTGGATGAGTTGGCCAAGAAGCATCCTGACCAATTCAAAGTCTGGTACACTGTTGATAAGGCAGCCGAAGGTGAGCCGCAATCTCCCAACCAACACGCTTTTAACGTTCTACGCATAGCGGGCCCATCCACACTCATGAGCTTCATTTTAAGGTTGATTCAGAGTGCAGTGCATGTGCAGGTTCATCAATTTAGAACTCACTCATTCCATTTCTACAGTTTTTATATTCCATACCTATTGTTAAATAAGGATTATTATTTGAGTGTAAATGTGAGCAGATTAGTCCTCAGTTTAAGGACAAAGATCTCAGCTTTAAGCACTAATTCGATATCGTATTAATATCTGAGACTAGGATACCAAACCATCAATCAGACGAAACAAGTTAAGCTATTATTCTTATTCTCTAAATTCTCTTCTTGTTTATTTCTTTCTTTAAAATTTAATTTTATTAATTGAAGACGATAACGAAGAGATTTAGAAAGTAAAAAAGTTTCACTATCGAAAGAAAGAACGCAAAAATGGAAAAATGATTGATGGAAGAAATTAATTTTCACAAAAATTATGTTTTAAAATAATGTCTAAAAAGTCTTATCCACATTCTTTATACATTATAAATATAAGCTCACAGTACAACTTCTTGTCACTGCTATGTTGTACAAAAAAGTCGGAATATAGCAGGTATATAAAGGATCAGAATGATTTGTGAAAGGGTATACTAAAAAGTTTGAATATACATATGGTATGCAAAAGATCGATATGGATATGTCGTTTATATGACTATTGATAGATTTTGATTTATTAGAGCTAGGGACACCCCAATTGGCATGTAGATCTCATTATTGTATATAGCTGACATAGATAATCCCTTGTTGTACAAAAAACTGTTCTGTCTCAGTAAATCTCAAAACCCGGAGCACTTTAATATATGTCTGCGAACCAAGTTGTTGGACTGTAGGAGAGAGGACGAGTAAAGGATTTTACTTTCTATTTTTAATAAGAAACAGCTCTGTTCTCACTTTTTAAAATTATATATACTATAGATATACTATTTTTTAGCCCTTGGTCCTGAAAATGTTCAAATTTGAATTTAACGTAGGTAGTTTATAATATATCGCCTTCTCTGGTTAGTTGCACGATTACCGCCACTTGTTCGATGATACATCCAGAGCGCACATCAACACCACCATGCGTTTATGTTTGTGAATGCATTGCACGTTCTATTGGTGTTCTGTTAGTCAATCATCCTCATCGGAGAAGCAAAACAAACAAACAAACAAGCAAAACACCTATTATGTTCAATACTTTGTGTCTGCCCTCCCTCGCAACATGCTGCCCACAAACGGATACCCCGCACGGCGCACACCCGTTTCATAGCCTGGTCCTATAATACCGGCTATGTGAACGATGAGATGATGCGCAAGCATCTCTATCCCCCAAAAGGTGACACCCTCTGCCTGCTGTGCGGGCCCCCGCCGATGGTTAACTACACCTGCATACCGGGCCTGGAGCGGCTGGGACATCACGCCGATCAGCGATTTAGTTATTAAGTCTAACCCTAGTCTTAGAGCAGCGTGCGCATTTTAGTTTCGCTTTCATATCACATGCAAAAGGGAAAATAATTCGCAAGCAGGTACATTAGGCGCTGTATTTTATACATATTTCCCGATACATATCTAACTATATTTTATTAATAGAGTAATAATTTGACATTTATCTCTCCCCCCCAGGCTGGACCTATAGTGTTGGCTTTATCAATGACGAAATGATTTCAGCGCATTTGCTGCCAGCTGACGACGCGACCATTGTATTGATGTGTGGCCCCCCGCCTATGATCAACTTTGCCTGCAATCCTGCCCTCGACAAATTGGGCTATCATCCGGACACTCGATTTGCGTACTAAAGGCAAAGATATAGAAAGGGCCATTACCATACTATAAGATGTGCTTGGGAACAAAGTCTTCGGATGCATTGGAAAATAGGAATTTCGCATTTTGTGTTTGTCAACTTTCTAAGTTTTAGATTCGTCCTTTACAACAACAACACACGCATGCGCCTAATTTGTTATACATACATATGTTTGTATCTGACAATATATCCTTGAAATGTGTGTATTTGTGTGTCAATAAAAGGGAAAGAAATGACTTAAAAAGGGATTGTCTACGAAAATAATTATTAAAACTTTGCATTTTCCTTCAATCAACAACCGAAATAAATCACGAAAAGCACTTTCAATTTTAGCGCTCCATTTGTTTTGTTCGCCAGCGATTTTGTTGTCATTTACATTAATTTGCTGTACAAATCGGTTTGACACCTAGGCGCCCCCCGATTTAGCATTTCGTGTGCGTTCATTCACCAGCGGACATTCACATCTACTTTCGTGTTCATTCAGAACTGCTGTCACAGGCTATGCTAATTTTTTGAGTTGCTGCATATTTTTAACAAACACGACAAAACAGAATATATGTATAAACAGCGGACCAGAGAATTCCGGAAATGAACTGCCTGCAATGCACAGTTCAAATTTTCTGTAATCGTTACGAATGCATTAATGTTTTTATTAAGGATCATTCAAACACGATAACCTTTGTCATGTTATGAATGATTATGAATGCAGCTAAATCTCGCTGAAATTGTGATTTTTTATTTGTCCTACATTAATTGCTTCAAAACGTAATATTTAACATTATTGTATATTCAGAAAGGGTTCTGATTAGCGCAACCAAAAGACTTTTTAGGCACTTTTCAATATCCGTGAATAAAACAAGAAAGGAATGCTAAAGTCGAGCAGGCTCAACTCTTAAATACCCTGTACCACCCCATAAAAAAGTAATTAAATTAATTAATTAATTTAATTTAATTAATTAACTAAATTAATTTAATTAATTAACTAAATATTAATTAATTAAATATAAAATATTCCATGCATGCATACATACATTTACATTTACATCAGAATCGTGCCTTATGCGTGTTTGTGTACTTGTACATATGTATGTATGTGTGCATTGGGCCTGGTTATATGGCTATAACTTTCTTTCCGATCATTCTATCATAATGAAACTTGGTATACGGATATATAATTACTAATCTAATGTAACTACCAAATTTTAGTTCAAAATTCCAAGAATTACGGGAGTTATAGAAAATCGGTAATAGGGGGGGAGTGGGGGGGTGGATCAGAAAAAATGAACAAACTCGTCCTTTCTCGGTCTCAGGAGAATCTGTATACCAAGTTTGGTTATTCTAGCTCTTATACTTTCGGAGATCCTTGCGTTCATACAGACAGACAGACAGACAGACAGACGGACAGACGGACAGACGGACATGGCTATATCGACTCGGCTTGTCATGCTGATCAAGAATATATATACTTTGTGGGGTCTACCAAGCCTCCTTCTGTGTGTTCCATGTGCACTCGCACAAAACTAATATACCCTTGTACCCTTTGGGTACAGGGTATAATAAGAGTTTGGAGAAATATATCCTTTAGTACTATTCAGAAATGTTTGAAGTTATCTTGTAGTTTTTAGAGCTTTCAAATCATTTATGAAAATATCTTTAGTTGTTGAAAATCAATCGTTTTTATTTAATTATTTAAACCAGCATAATATTATATGAAACAGTTTTGATACTGATAGGTCTGTCCATTCATAAAAGTTTTTCTTCCGGAATTTAAGATATTTTATTATAGGGTTTTTTGGTCCCAATAAAACACTTTATGCACAAATAACTGATTTAATTGTATTAAATATTTAATATAATTTGTAGGATTTAATTAAAAACATAACCCTTATCTGAATATCTGAGGCATAAATAGCTGGCAAACGTCGATGTTTGTCTGTTTTAGAAGACGCCAAAACTATTGGACTAATCGTTTCAAAGTTGTACAATATTGTATTGATCATGAATCAATAAAAAGGAAATCCAAAAGCTGCCATTACTCAAAAATTGATGAGCCCAAGAGGTTTTGAGGAACGAGGGGAGTATGTACACCTAATTCGGTTTTTACACGATAGATTGGTTCCAGAAAAAGTCGTGTAAAAAAAAAAACGTTAGTTACAACTAAAATTATTACCTATTACTGTTAAATATTATTTATTTTTTTAACATTTTTATATCTCTTTATTACACAAAACTTTATAGTTTTTACACTTCTTTTTAAAATTAAATTGTTAACATTTGTATAAACTATACATGAAGTATAAGAAAAAGTATAGTAATCGACAAATTACAATTCTGATTTCCAGTGAAAGTTAAAAAATGCTAATTTCAAAAATGAATGTTGTCGATTGTTTAGATAAATGTATGTATAGCTAGGATTTTGCCTCTGGTTGTATTCAGGTAGGGTACCTACTGCCGACACCACTGAGCAGAGCTCTGCAGGTGCACTACGCCTCTGTCGTGTTCGTCTCATATCTGATTATAACCACTCAAGTGAGCCGCTGCGTTGTTTGTTGGGCGCAGCGAGCGTCTGGCTGTGGAAGAAACGACTTTCGTTGGTTTATTACACCCGCTGATAAGCGTTTTGTGATTGGCATTTAAATGGCAAAACTACGACAAAAACCGGGCGCTTGTGCAGCTCCAGATTCCCGCCAATTGATTAACGGAGAGAGCCGGCGGTGTTGTCTTTTACATGAGCTTGATTGAGAGAGCGAAAGCAGTTAAGTTAAATAAATAAAATAAAACCAATATAAAGTTTTTCTTCGGTTGCAACGAACTTATTTACCCTTTACAGCCATTCGCATTATCTAACAGTCTTTAGGTTTCAAATACCTGATGCCTTTAGATTGTGGAAAGATAAGTAGACACTAAAATGTCGGGCTCAACTCTTTTAAATTCAACAATAAAGAATTTGAAGCTTCTCTCTAAAATAAAGTTCTCTTCCAGGAAAACAAAATAAACATACTTACTATGGTTTTTATTTGAACCAAATTATTCAGATATGTAACTACAAATATGTGGGCTTTTATTAAAAATAATACAATAACTTTTATTCAAAGTTGATAAAACTTATTGATAATCCATTCAAGTAACATTTTTCATATGACGTATATTTTTCAACAATCGTCAATTACTCCAGTTTGGCAGCAAAGGGCACCCAAGAACTGGAAAAGTTGAATTAACGTTTAACTCTATCGAGGTATCAGCTGCAGTGCAACGTTTCTGAATATGAGAACTCACTAGACACTCACAATCTGGTGGTCGACCAGGGCGGTTCGAGAAATCCGAGACTACTCACGTACGTGAAAATAATAAAATAAAATGGATAGCAAAAGCAATTCTTCGTCTGCTGCTGCATTGACTGCGAATCGAGTGAGGGAGCAGCTACCAGATGATTGGAAGATCCTGCGAGATGTTCACGAACTGCTGCAAAAGCAGAATGCCTTCTGTGTGAGTCCCCAACAATGGGGTGAACAGAAAATTGTTGAGTTTGTGCAGCCGTCCGAGTTGAAGGTGAGACGAGAGAACCCACACTTTTAAACTACATTTGCATAATTGTCGTATATATGTATGTATATACTAGCGGCAAAGTCTATAGAATGTAGGTTAATAAGTGCAATCGAAAGATGGAAAATTCTGCAAAGTCACTGATAATTTGCATTGGTTCAGTTGATCGATCGCCGGCTCGTGCCTAATTCTTATCTCTCCACAGCAACTTATCAATCTCAAGATTGAGGAAAAGGAAACGCACAGTCTGAGCGAGATCGAGAAGCTTTGTCAGCTCGTGATTCGGTATTCGGTGAAAACTTCACACGGACGTTTTCACAATCAACTCTTCGGACAACTAGATCCATATGGACTAGCTGGTGCTTGGATTACCGAAGCGCTCAATACAAGCTCGTAAGTTTAAGTTAAGAAATATTTTAATAGAGTACTTAACTTAAAAGAAAGTTTTAGAAAAATGTGAATTTTCGTTTTAAAAAAGTAACATTCTTTGTTTAGAACAATATTTTAAAAACGCTTGGAATGGTTTTTTTTTATCACTTGGTCTGTAATCATCTTTAAGTTTAGACTGTTGGTAGTGGGAGTTGAAGATTTTGTTGATCCTTTCAGTTACACCTATGAAGTGGCGCCTGTATTTTCGCTGATCGAGACCGAGGTAATATCAACAGTTTGCCGTTTGGCCGGCTACGACGAGGGCGTGGGTGATGGCATCTTTTCGCCCGGTGGCTCCATGTCCAACATGTACGGTGTGGTGTTGGCTCGCTATAAGCGGGCCCCAGAGGTAAAGACATCGGGCATGTTTGGAATGCGGCCGCTGGCAATCTTTACCTCTGAGGAGTCACATTATAGTCTGAAGAAGGCGGCACATTGGCTGGGCTTCGGGGCTGATCACTGTATCGCAGTACGCACAAATGGTCGCGGTCAAATGGAGTTGGGGGACTTGGAGTCTAAGATAGAAGAGGCCAAGAGTCGTGGTTGGGAGCCGTTTTTCGTGAACGCCACAGCCGGCACAACAGTGTTGGGTGCCTTCGATGATCTCGATGGTCTTGCCGATCTCGCGGCGCGTCATGGCCTCTGGCTGCATGTAGACGCCTGTCTGGGTGGATCTGCCCTGCTCGCCACCCAGCATCGTTCGCTGCTCAAGGGACTGGCACGCGCCAACTCCTTTGCCTGGAATCCGCACAAGACGCTGGGCGCACCGCTTCAGTGCTCGCTCTTCATAACACGCGAGTCGGATTTGCTGGCGCGCTGCAACAGCATTGAGGTGAACTATTTGTTCCAGCAGGACAAATTCTATGACGTCTCCTATGACACGGGCAACAAGAGTGTGCAATGCGGTCGCAAGATCGACGCCTTTAAGTTCTGGCTAATGCTGAAGGCTCGTGGCTATAGCCAATACGGCCATCTGGTTGATCATGCCATCAATATGGCCCGTCTGCTGGAGCAGAAACTGCGCGCACGTGCGGATCGTTTCAGGCTGGTGCTCGATACGCATGAGTACTCCAATGTTTGTTTCTGGTACATTCCCAAGAACATGCGGGGTCGCCAAGAGACCGCGGAGTGGTGGACACGTTTGTACACAGTAAGTGGGATGGTTCCATTCAATTCCCCCCCCCCCCCCCATTCAGAAATCTTATACTTTCCAACTTCTTCCGTGTCCAGGTGGCACCCAAAATCAAGGAACAGATGGCATACAGTGGAACGGTTATGGTTGGTTACACTCCCCTTGCCAGTCGAAATCTAGGAAACTTCTTCCGCATGGTCTTCACTTGTTTTCCAGTTTTAGAAGCAAACGAATTGGATATTCTACTTGACGAGATCGAGAAATTGGGAGAGCAGTAGACATATTAACGCACTCCTTCCTTTTGCATTTACAATGTTTATAAAAAATAATCTTAGATATTAAAAGCAAAAAACATTATTCAAAGCGATCCTTATTGCAATCTTTTAACCAAACATACTGAAACCACCAAATGTGCTTCAAATCTGCATTAAGACAATATCGCATACTGGAGAAACTCTTGTTTTTGACGAAGTTTCTAAAGTGAAAGCCTTCCTCCATCATATTTCACAAATAATAACAGCCAAACCCAAGAAAGATTTAACAAATTCTATATTTGTATAGAAAAAAAGAAACATACAAGTATGTACTAGTTTATATATAATATCCAATAATGAATCTGCCTCGACACAGTCAGCCGATTCACAGCAAAGTTAAGTATCCAGTCCGGAAAGTTATGCGCCTGACCTACTGCCATGATGATTGTAATTCTCTCGGAAGCTTAATCAGTTGTTCATCAGTTACTCGATGATCTGGACGGTAGTAAAAAATTAATCTAGAAATGTCCTAGAGTTAGCTAGCGAGGGCAGGTCCGCTAGAGTTGGAGATTAGAAGCTAAGCTGGGATTTTCGTTCTTCTCCAAAAAAGAATGAAACTTATGAATGGAAACTGGCCTTCCTTTATCAAATTCATTTTTCACTTTATAGTCTGCAGATTTTCATCTCAAATCATTCAAGTCTATCATGAAACAGTTTCAAATTCACCCCTGTTGATCATTATTTGCAAAACGTATGACTGAAATTTGATATTATTTGCTTAAAAATACGTGAATTGAATTCGAAAAGTGCAGCGAAATGTGACGGTAGAAAGAGATTTGAAGTCTACATTCGTGAAATAAGTTGAAATGCGGAAACAGCGTCGCATGTTCCCATTAAGTATTAAGTGGGAGAAATTTCTGGCATTATTTCTCATTCCATACAACGCTTTACCTAAAAGACCAAGGGAATTATGAATTATTTTAATTAAAAAGCTACTCCTTAAATAAATAACGCACAGTTGCTTTTTTGCAATATGTATTTTCATATTTTATTGAATACAGAGTGGGGGGGTTGCTGAACACCTTGCCAAGCAGCACCTAGCAAGTTTTCCAGTTTATCAGCGTGCTGATCTTACCATCACCTAAGCATCAATAGTACGTACAATTGTTGTTAATAGAATGTTAGCTTTAAGACTGGTGGTTTGTATGCAGCTATATAATGTAGTTTCATTGCATTAATCGATGCCTGAATATTGAAAATCGTTCAGGCCAGTCGGGCAACAGAAACCTTAAGCTTAGTTTAATGTAAAGGTTCTACAACTAAATACGTAGTAAGCGTAATAAGTTTAAATACATATGTATATGGATATTGTAGTCTTTACTAATTCAATGCAAATGGAATTCTATCGCACTGTTGTGCGGTCGTCTCTATGGCCTTTCAAGTAAAATCTAATCTCGATTTTGTTTTTATTAAATTTGAGTGAAACTTTTTAATATATTTTGTTAATTAATGTGCTAGCAAGGTTCACAGAACGTTTTTAGCCTAAATTTTGTTTGTTGCATTAAAATACATGGTAAAAATAAATCTAGCTTGCATTTCGTTTTTTCCTGCTGCTTTGTAGAAAGTTGCATGTTATATATAAATAGGTATATAAATATAGAAATATATATATATATGTAGCAAAAAAAGTTGTAGTGCTCCATAACATAAATTTTTAGCTTAGCCTGTTGCGAATTTTGGTTGAAAAATGCTGCAGCTTTCCCACGCTTAGCGTGACAAGTTCGCGCCTTGCATCTCGATGGCTCTAATAGTTTTATATGACTGTGCGCATATAAATTTGTCCAATGTTGCAATAAAAAGTCTTGCGAATGCATATTTTTGGGGATACTTTTGCCAATTGTCCAGAAGTGTTATTTCATTAGTTGCTTAGGTTTTATCCTTTTTCCGTTCCTTGTGGGTCGTTGCAGCTGACAGCAGGTTTCAACATGTATGCGTTTGTGTGTGTTTGTGTTAGTGCTACATGGATACAATTAAAGAGACTAAAAAATACACTTGAAACACTAAGCTAAAAAATACAATTTGATCGTTGGCTGGGGACGTTGGCGACGCCGACGCCGCTGCCTAAAAACACTTAAAACTTATAAAACAAATTGACTTTCGATTTGGAATCCTTTTCCTGTGGTATTTGCTCCTTTTTGCACAGCTTCTTCGCATTATACGCGGCTAAAATGTCATTCATAGCGGCCTCATTCAGTTCGATGGCCTCCACGGAGGAAACCTTCTTGTACCTAAAAAATGAAATTGATATTATTAACATGTCTTCCATCAATCCAATAATTGACAACTCACTTATCTCTATTGTACTTTTCCCGTATGGCCTGTGTGCTGAGCTCGGTGGCCGCCTTGTGACTCTTGCATAGATGCAGCACAACTTCCTTCAAGTCTTCCAGTTTGTATGTTGTGATCTCCTCAAGCTCGGGCGTCCACATATCCATATTCAGAATTGAACGAGCCAGCGCAAGCGCCGCAGCCGACACAAGCGATGGCAAATAGTTCAAGAACGGATCGGCATCCAAAAGCGAAAGCTCGCAAATGTACTGTGGACAGAGATAGAGAATTATAATTGTTGCCATTGTTGCTTTCATTTCAGATCATTAACCTACCAAAGTCAAGTATTTCAATCTCTCTGGTATGTCGGTTAGCACCGCATAGGTATTAACAAAAACATATGGTGTCGGTGTGCACAAATCAAATGACAAGATTTTTAATATAATCTGCTCCATGCGTAGCACTTGGCTCTTGTTGTAGGTGTCGTCGGTAATGAAGACGAACTCACCCACATCTGGTGGATAGATTTCTTCGTATTTTCTGCAAATACCAAACGAAATTGATTTAAAATAAATGCATTCAAATATTTAAACTATAATGCTCCTCCTAACAAACTTAATCTTCCATTTGATGTTCATACTTAAAACTATAGCACCTCATTAAAAAAAGTGTACTTTTGTTTTTTTTTTTCTTCAATAATGGTTATTACTTTTATTAGAAGACTGTTTGGTTATTCTGTAGTATTTCTTAAATAGAACTGTCCACAAATAGAAATTAAACTTTACATTAAATTTTCAATCCTTTTTAATTGAGATAAGGAAAAGAAAAACAATTTAGTGTTTATGTGTACTGCTCTTCTACATTTACTCAGAATTCTGCTCAGTTTTTGATTGTCTTTTTCATTCGGATATATTCGGATTATATTAAAAGTCTATACTTACGAAGCAATATACATGGCCGCAGTTCCCACCAACTGCAGCTTTGAGCGCACCACTGACATCTGACTGAGGAAGCGATCGATAAACACCACAGACAAGTACAATGTCTCCGTGTCCAGATTGTATTCCTCGGACACCTCAACCAGCCAATCGACCAGTATAGTGCGCATCGAATGATTGATGTCGTTTTGGCGGCGCATATACTGCGGCTTCGGGCGATGTTTCTTCTGTAATGCGAATATAGAATAAATTGAAAAGAATATTAATGAAACTCTACTTATCAAAATAAAACTGCAGTCATGTAAACGTTTGAAATACCTTAATAAAATTCCTCCTACAGCAGAAATATGAATACAAACTTTGTAGCATCATAAGGTGTTATATCTTTAAAAACAAATACGTTTTTCAACCCACCTTTTTAAACCACAATGTTTATTTGCTGTTATAAGATATAGAATAAAACGAAATATGGTTGATATATTTTAAGCAGACTATCCATATACGAATTTGTTCAAACAGATTTTAGTTTTATATTATCTTTCAAGACGAACTAACTTGCTTGGAAATAATTTGACCCCCAGAGAAAGACGCCTTTCATACATAGGTGTTAGGAATGCTCTGTAAATATTATATTTGCTAACAAACAGTATTTGGTAATAAATATTAATATGTATTGTCTTTTCCAATCACATACATATTTGCATATCGCACACCCCACACATATATCTACCAACTAACAGGTAGTTTTCTGTTTACTTGGAAACCTGGCGTGTTTGTTAAATACCCACAAATCGAACATGTCTATTTTCTTTTGTTTATTGCCTTTTTCGAGCTACGTGCGAGACATATAAATTGAATGGACGCGCCCAAAATAAGCGTAAACCGCTAAATATGTACAGAAAGTACACGTAATTAGGTGTTAACTTAATAATCAATTTAACGATTATTGGGTACGCGAAATGGCGTTCTTGAATATGCATTAATTAGATGTGCAAGTAAAGGCATAAACTTTCTCACAGTTTGATGAAATGTTTAAAGCTAAGGAAAGAGATTTCTTTTAATAGGATGATTCCATGGTGCAAAGTTTTTGGGTCTCTTGGTTATCAGTTGTAAACAAGGCGACCTGGCAACCGAGCAAACAAACTCAAAATCAATTCCATAACTCAGATAGAGAAAACGCATTTACACAACAACTGAAATCCGGTCCACATACCTCACCCAGAGAAGTATTTATTTAACGACAAAATGACCCTCAAACTTGGTATTTGCACCAAAAGTGATCTCGATGAGGCCCTCAAGCTGCAGAAGCGCGAGCAGTATGAGGATGATCGTAAGAAGCGCATCTTTAATGCTAAACAGCGGCTTTATGGGGTACGTCTGGGAAAGTAAGTATCAAAGAATTGGCCGTCTATCTGAAAGATGTTGTGTCCTTCAGCTCGATCTGGACATTTTGGAGCGACAGATTGCGGAGAAGAATAAGGAGCGCAGTGTGCAGATGGAATGCGATAAACGATATGAGGAGCAGGAACAGATGCAGAAACGCCTCCTGATGGCCAAAGAGAAGGAGCTGGAAAAACAGCAACGCTCCATTGAGTCTGATATTAATTACTATCGCTGCAAGTTTCAGCGCAAGGACCAGCGTCGCGAATATGATCTGAACGATCCGAATTATCTGAAAAATGGCAAACCGATGCGTGTGGCGGACGATGATATTACATTGGGCGTATCGAGTGCTCAGATCTTTTCCGGCGAGGATCTGTACAATAGTGAGCGCAAGTTGCGACAGCGGGAACAGCAGAAGGCTTGGCTAGATCAGCAGGTTCAGGAGCGCAGGCAGGCGGAGGAGGCACGACGTCGCGCCGATGGTATGTTTATGCAGAACATCATGTGCCGGGACAAGCATCTCGAGGATATGGCTAAGTCGGATAATCTAATGCGCAACCAAATCATACAAAAGAACCGGGAATTCAATGCAAGTCTGGCCAAGCAGAAGCAAATGGATCGCGCTCGGGCCAAGCAGGAAAAGTACGAGGACGACATGGCCGAGATATATAATATGCTTTCGAGCGATATGCTCAGCGAGAATCTAGATGTGGCACAATCACGCACCAATCCGAACAAGAAAATCGCATTCATGTATCGCGGCATGAACGATGAGGAGCTGAAAGCCTTCCGCCAGGGTCAGGAGCAGCAGCTAATAATAACTAAAAAGCGAAGAACGGAGGCCCAACTGATGGACAAACAGTGGGAGCAGTATGCCATAAATATGGACCGCGAGCTAGTCCTCAAACAAATCGAAATGGAACGCCAGCGCAAGGAGCAGTTGGACGATCTAATGCGTGTGAATGCCCAACTAGCTCGCGAACAGGATCAGCAGCGCAAGGAAACTGTAGTTCGACTAACCAATCACGTATCTGATGACTTTTACGATCAGTTCAACAAGAACTCGCGTTAATTATTAAGAGAATATTATTTAATTTTACAATTTTTCCTAACCACACACATTTCCTTCCACCCTTGCATGCAATACTAAGAGATCTTTGAGTGATTCGAGGGTCTTGAGTGCATGCTGCTAAGTTGGTTTTTTCTTTCAAATGGATTTCACATGCACTCAGGGCGCTCAAATCTCTACAATTGACATACTTTATACTATATAAATAATATATAAAAACAAATTGAATCGTAGAGAACTTTGAAAAATACCCAAAGCAAATTTATGTGTACTCTAATTGATTGAAATAAACAAAAATTGAGAGTTCTAGAACATAATATATTTAAGCTGATCTTCTGATGTTTCCATCTATACTATATTTCCATTAAAATTGGGAAATATACATAGTTCAGTAGTTCCCTATAGCTTGTTCAATCTATGCTTTACTTTATTCGCTCGTTCAGTTAACTCATAGTTATTTGATTTGTTCTTCCGTTCCTCGTCATAGCTGTTTTATTAAAGCCGACAATTTTTCTCTGTTTTTGCGATTAGAATGTATAGGTATGTCGGCAAAGGTAAATTACAATAACGAATATTTAAAATGACAATTTTATAATACACATTTAACTGTTTTTGTTTAAAAAGTTCATGAAAAAGAAACATTGGTATGCATAGAGCTCTATGTGTACTCGAGCCCCCTCTTTTTCCCAAACACCCCTTTCACTGGGATATACGAATTTCCTTTGCCAATCCTTCTTTTCAATGATAGAAATAATTTACTAGAAGAACAAAACTAATTAAATAAACTAATCCCAAAAAAATGGAAATGCCCTTACATATATTATATCCGTTACCAGACAGCTATCACTAGGCTTTACAAATTTCTCTGGCATGCCTATAATCTTAAAGTTTTTCAAAATATCCGATAGCTTTTCAGAGTACGTGTTGATGGCATGGATTTTCTGATATATATGACTGTAAGATGTTTCATTTTTATGAACCTAGTCACGACCAACTGAACAATAGGGAAAAATCGTAACTTAGCCCATAGCCATGGATCAAACTAGGCTGACACTGGGCATTACAAAATTATCTCTCTCTCTCTTTCAGGCGATAAGGAAACCAATATCTGCAACCGAACCACTTATCTTAACGGATGTTCTCACTCGGCATTGTAATCTCTGGCTGAAATTTTCTAACCTTTTATCGACTGCTAACCATGATTAAAGATATATGGGTGCCACAGACTTTGCATTTATGAACTGTTGTATCGTCCCAGAGAAGAAAGGCAAGCTACTAGCCTTATAATTTAATCAGCCGCAAAGTAGACGAATGTTTTCTTTATTGGTTTTACAATAGTGCCGAACAAAATACGAGTATGTATGTCATTAACGCTTCTGTCTAGCAGTAAATATGCTAGATATACACGTATGTGCAGGTACTTTTGGAAATAACCCTTGCAACAAAGAGTCTTCTACTTAATTTTAGCTCCTTCTTCGTTATATAACGACGAATAGAGAAGAATGAAAAACTACAAAAAGAAGAGGCATGCAAAGGCAAAGGAAACACACGCCCCATAATAGTGGTGTCATCCCAGGGAGTACGCAGTCGGCATTCAAATGCAACGCATGAGAGCGTTCCCTCTGGCAATTAGTGCGGCAGGCAAACAAACCGATCTTCAACAGACGACAAGAGACCGTAGAAAAGTCAACAAACGCAAGGAAGCGGCAATGGTGGCGGCTTTTCCGCGTCGCTAGCTGATAAACATGTGACGACCAGAAAGGGAAGAGAGAGGATAGCGACACATTAGGGCGCGGCAGGGTTCTGTTTAGTGTGTGTGTGTGTGGAAACTGGAAACTATTGCACTTGTGTGCGTGCCGATACACACGCACACAAACACAGTCAGGATTCGGGGGGTCAGCACTATAGCAAGCAAATGCAGGAATACAGCACTCGAGTGCAAACAAAAACAACAAACATTAATGTTGTCAGGCCTGCTAAGATTGGTAGCCAGGCCTTTCTATGGGCGACTAAGACATCACATTCAAATGTTGGCTTCTCTCATTTCTATTAAACAGAAACACATAATATTCGAATGTGGAGAATATTTCGAACATATTAGAAGAGAGTTTTGTATTGAAAACAAAATACTTCCCCTCTTTTTCAACACTTCGTTTAATTTTAAAAGTATAACTAAGTCTACGGTCAGACATGCAAATAATCTGCGTAATCTGGTTCTATGTTACAAGTAGTCTTGATAAATAAATCTTATTTAACTTTTTTGTAGTAAAATGTTTATTGAATTCTATTAAATTATTAAGGAAATACCATAATGCTTAAGACTTGCTTGTGTATTTCGAAATTATTTTCATTTGGGCTCTAAACTCATCTCATGGTTACCTGATATTTGGCACCATTTGCAAACAACCGGTTATTTAAACTAGTTTTAAAATCATTTAAATGAATTGTTGTTGTTTGAGCAAAGTATAAATAAAATCAGAGCGAAATATAATCGAAAAACGCTCAAGGAAATATGAAAAGTTTCAAAAAGTTTGTAGCATTAGTAGCTTGAACAAAATGTTATTGAAGTCCTCCTAGTATTATTTGTTTTATAACACGGAACTACATTCTTGTTGAAACTACATAAAAAGATGACAAATGATTACAAAAACATACGACTACCGAATGCTACAGTCGAGCGAGCCCCACTTTAAATATTCCTTTTTACAAAACAAACTTCCGCCGCTGTGTTATCAGCGCTCATAGCAGAAGAGGGAGCTCGATGCTGCAGTTTTTTGTGGATGCAAAAGCGATATAGAATTATATAATATTTTAGTCTATTTAGCTTTAGAATTGTGGACATTTGGGAAAGTATACAGCTTGGTCAATGTGGACTCAGCCGTTTCTTAAATCCAGACGTTCATCCAGACAGACAGATGGGCGGATATGTTTAGATTGATTTCTCATGTCTTACTGATTAAGAACATATGTATGTATACTCGGAAATAATTCCTTCTGTCTGTTACATACTAACCTTTTAACCTTTTTAGCCTTTGGGTACATGGTATTTAAATCACAACCAATTGTGACTCAAAGTGAAATACAAGTAGTATTTCCCTTTATATTTCTAAAATAGTTGATACAAAAAAAATCGATTGCGGCAAATAAATGTCTTCTACATATCATTAATTTTCAAACCAGTCTCTGATAATTGATTGTAAGTTTTTAAAAAAAGCTGATCCCAAACTGACTGAAACAGTCAACAAAATCTAATATCTCACATTTTTCAATTCGAAATGTCGGATTTGATATGTAGAGGTAATATAACCGAAAATACGCAATCAATAAATAGCGTTCAGTTTAAAGAATCCAAACAACTCACCTCAGCCTCGCGGAAGTTCTTTAATATGTCCAACTGATACTGGACCACCTCGTAGAAACGCTGGCGATCGTTGCGCGGCGGCATCTCTTTGCGCAGCAGCTCATTGCTAAACCCATTGGCAGCTCCATCCTTGCTATCAGCTGTTGTATCAACAGCGCTGTCGTCAATTAGCTGGGCACTACCATCGCTGACCATCGAACGGTCCACAGACATGGGTGACAACACATCGGTGACGGACATGGGTGTTATGTCCAGATCGTAGACATGCGATTCATCACTGAAGTCAAAGTAATATAAAATCATATGTATATTGTGTTAACTGTAAATTATTTACGAATTTACTTACTTTTGGTTAACGCCATAAACATTCTCCTTGTCATTGGCATTCGCCTCCGCCTTAACAACTTGCTGTTGCGTATCATTGTTGTCCTCATATACGGAAAATGTCTTAAATTGCTCCACGACGGGCACAACATTGGATTTCTTGGCGCCACCATAGACAGCATTCTCAGTATCGACTGAAGTTGTTGCTGTTTTCTGGAAGACCTGCAAGGCACAGCAACGAAATTGAATACATAAGGTGTGTGTATGTATGAGTATGTCGCGCAGAATAATGCACCCTCTTTGCTTTTTTTATTTTCCTCTGGGAAAAATCCTGTTACATGCATTGCTTTAGATTTGTCATGCTGTTGGGCTCGCGCCATTTGCTGGCTTCGCTCTATTTGTATGTGTTTGTGTGTATATGCTGTAATTGCATTACAGTGCTGCCACACATACATATGTATATGCTTGCTTTAGTATGTATGTATGTAGGTACATAACATTGTTGGTTATGCTCTTCACTTTCATCTGCAGTTTCGCTTTTAATGGCGCGCAAAATTCTATTTCTAGGTTAGTTTGAAGTATGGGCGCGAAAATTGCAACAAAGCTGAAATAATATCAACCCCACCATGTGTTACACCACTTCATATTGTTCAGCATAAGCAAACCTTATCAGCCGGATTTGTAATGTGAAACTAAAGATAACGCGGCCGAACATGATTACAAGGATCTCAAACTCGAAAGTTTTGCTTCCAGTAATAAATTGTTGCGATACTATGCAAATGGTTATGGCTCATAATTAAAACTTTGTTGCTGATGAATATTTGTGCATAAGTCTACATTTAACACCCACATTCAGATATGAGGACAAATAGGCGCTAACAATGTTTGATTACCACACTACGGAACAAAACTCTTACATATATTTAACATAATTTTTTGTTTATTTACTTTGTGGGACCTGCCACGCCTTCTTCTAAGCCTTACATACTTGTATGTACGTACATTTGCGCTTACTCGTATACCCTGCTGCACATTTCCTAAAAGGGTATAAGAAATCGCAATGCTGTCAAATCTACATTGTTAAATCTGCATTGCCAAATTGGCATGCGCGCATGAGCATGGCGCCAATATTTGGAAAGTTTGCGCAATACGTGCAGGCAGACAAGACAGATCAGAGACATACACGCATAGCAGAGAGAGAGAGAGAACAAGTGAGAGCAGAAGAGAGGGTGACATAACTACCACCATGACCATTATCTGCAACAACAGAACATCTATTGTGATTCCACCACCAGCTGCTAGGCAGCTGCATTACAAAGCCTGTGCGCTCCGTAAGGAATACATAGCTTTGCAGCACACACTTACCGCTTTTCCGGCAGGCAGAGGCGCAGCTCGCGGCACGTTGCCATTGTTGGCATTTAGAACGGCAAAATTGGCGCGCGGTGCCAATGGCTGAGCCTTTTCCTTGCCACCGATAACGGCTAGTGGCTGTTTACCGCAGCCTTTCTCCCGCAAGGCTGCTGGCACTTCGGGATTCTCCTTGTCGTTGATGTCACGATGTATTTGGAAAGTAGCCATATTTGTGCTTTGTTGAAGAAAATTGAAGGCAACAGAATGTATCCAAAGGAGCTGATTTTTTTTATTGTTTCACTTTCTGCTCTCTTCGCCGTTGTAAAATGGTGGCTTTATCTGCGTTTCTCTTTATTCCGTACTTTTTTACTTTTTGGACGCTTGTGCGGCGCGTTACTTTACTGTGTATGTGTGCGTGCATGTACGGCGTTCATATGGTTGTGTGAGTGTGTTATGATGAACGAACCGATGTTTGTTGAGCGTTGCTTCGTCTTGCGCTGATATTTGTTTCTTATGCTTTTTATGCTACGCGCTCACACAAACACACATACAGTGCAAATGAACAGATGCGAGGGCATTAAAATAAACGCAAATTTCGCTTTATAAAATAATTGTAGCAAATAAAATGGATTTATATATTACATTGAACACTGACGACGCGCACAACAGTTTAACATTATTCGTTTGACATTCAATTTTACATTTTCATTTCTTTGGCTAAATATAATTTGATTTATTTGCACACAAACGAGCGACGCCTCCTTCCGCTTGCGTTCGCACGAATTCGTTTTGAGCTGCGTCTGGTTTGATTTTACCCGGCCATCTACGACGATACCTTATTCGATACTCAACATTTATACTCATTCGTCTCCCTGTTGCGATGGCCACACTGAAAGTGAATTTTGTCACTCTTCTAACAGTGACTGCGTTTAGATTACGAGGATAACTCGATGAGTCTTGACAAAGTTCTAGCAGCAGAATAATTTTAATAAATAACTTGATTCATTTTCGCTATTTACCGTCTAGAATTTAGTTGTGGGAAAATTATACAATAAATAAAAGTGGACAGAAGGTAAGTGGAAAAAAACGATTTTCGACTTTTGTTTGAGTTGTCGGCAGCCACCTCGGGAAATTTGAATGAATGCAGGTTGTTGACTCTTCATATATGTCACAATTTTACACTTTCAATGAATGCAATTGTAAATAAAATGTAAATATTTACATTTGTCTTTGGTCGTTTAGTTGTGTTAGTACATTCATTGAACTAGTGTAAGCCAAGCAGATCACCGTGCTTATTTAAGTATCTGTGATTTCTAAATATAAAAAAGTGACCTATTCAGGTAAATATCGCTCATCTCCAAGCACGCTGTATTGCAAAAAGTGCTGCCAATCAACTCACTAAAATTGGCGCAATCAAAAATTAAATTTAAACGAGAAAATTAATCCCACAAAAGACCATGAGTAGCATGAAACAGAATGAATAAATAGAAATAAATGTCAATGTGCTGATTTATATGCGCATGTTTATATGTTCTTTCGTATGTAGTTTATAAACTCTTTCACATCTTCATACACTTAGTGATTTCATATGTTTGCATTAAATACATATGTACATAAATATGTATAAATGTATGTATGTATATACATACATGTGTACATATGTGTATATGAATGTGCACCTACCTACTATTTTTTACCATATAATACGCAGAAATATTTTTTGCATTACTTTATTAAAAGGCCTTAAACTAACATTAATATCAAAAAGTCTACTCAAGACAAAGTGATAATAAATTATTGTCTAAATATTGCATTTAACTACTTGTATTGTTGACTAACCCAATGGAAAGAAGGATAGCCGGAAGGCCATCTCGACCATGTTTTGCGGCACCTCAGGACGATGACAAACGTAAACCTCCTTGGCCGGCGAGTTAAAAAGTCTGCCAATTACCACGAATCTGACGCTATAGGGCTTACCGCCCTGTTCTTTCGCAGTACCTTTCACCTCCATGGTGATGCCGTGCTCCTTAACCACAGATATATCCTTGTTGCTGACACTGGTGCCGCTGCTGCTGCTGACCCCGGGACCAGCACCACCCACAGGAGGGGCTTTTGTGACCTCCACCGGCTGGCGAAACTTCTTAGAGCGCTCCAGCACAGCGTGAATAATGTGACAGGCTTTGCGCATCTCACAGACAAATGGAAATAATTCAGAATTGGCTTTGAGGGGACAGAAGAGCGATCCATTTGCCGTGTCCACGTACACGTAGTAGTAAACAGCGTTCTTCCAACCGGCGGAGATCTTTACGGGCACCACATTGTTGATCTCCTTCCACAGGGACTCGGTCATTTGACTTTGGCTTTCCACATCCAGCCCATAGTGCAAGGGATGTTGTTCGGCAAAGTTCTCCCAGTCGGAGCCGCTGTCGGAATCTTCCGCATGGTTGGGCGTCAGGCGCTTACGCGATGAATCATCTTCGCTGGGAGTGAGACTGTGTATGGAAGAGCCGCCCAAGGAAGAGCACAGCTGGACTTCGTCGTCATTGAGGACGCTCGCATGGCTGCTGGGACTCGAAACTGTGAGTTTCTGCTTGAGAAACGTTTCCAGCTTGCTCTCTTTCTCGTCCGCGCCCGTGTCAGCAGTGCTTTCCACTTTGTCCAAGACCTCAGGCCTTTTATTGGAAATGGACCAGAACATTGCGAGCGATTCAATGCCACACTGGATTAAATGGTCGAGTGTTTCCTGAATCTCCTCAATGTAGAAAAGCGATGGTGGGATTGTGGCGTTGGGTGCCATGTCCGGCGCATCGAATATCTTGAGTATGACGGCCAAAATCAGATGACTGCGCGTGCAAATGGTCAGAAAGTAGCGCCCAGTGGCATTGGCCAACGCAATCTCCTCCCACACATACAGTTCCCTGACATTCTGGGCTCCAATGAAGTCGAAGATGCCGCGGCAGCGCAGAAACCTCTCCACATTGGCGCGCACTTCGACGGGCAGCTGAGAGGCCAACAGATAGCTATCGTAGTACAGAACGCAGCCATAGATGAAGAACTCACGATGCGTGGTCAAAGGTTCATCGTTCCAGTTGCGATAATCCATGGCCTCCATTTCGCTGAGGGCGTCAAAAATGCGCAGCTGCGCCTCCTTTGGCAAAGCCAGCAGCCTGGACTCCCACAACAGCTCCTCGAACTGAACGCCAGCACGTGGACGGGCGAGCAAACGCACCCTCTGGATATTGCAGAAGTGTTTCAGAAAAGCGCGCAGACCACTTGTCGTCTCATTGGCATTCGCAAAGTTGTCGAGGCAGAGCCCCGGGAAGGCAAAGCGCATATAGCCGATCAGCTCATCAGAGCGCAAAGCACATTCGGCTGCTGTCTGATCCCGGGCCGTAAAGGCGAACAGCACCAGGAAGCCATTCAGCGCTCGATAGTTGACATTGTAGGCGACGCTATCCACCAGCAATCGCGTCCAGCGTGGCTTCGTTTGCAGCTCATCGCTGAGTACGGCGTTGATGGTCAGAAAACTGCCACGCGCCTTGTATAGAAAATTGCTGAGTCCGCCATCCGCACTCTCCGGATAATAGTACAGCGAGTCCTTGTGCTGGTCCTGTTGATAACATTCCGGCGGCAGAATAAGCATTGCAAAGGGCGTGGGTGTCTCCAACTCCGTTGTGCTGGTCGACTGCAGCAGCAGCTGCTCGAATTGCTCGGCAAACTGGGCAAAGTTTTCCAGCTTACGCACCTGATTGCTATTGGCATTCGCATCGATGCCAGAGGCGGCGCCGGGCAAGGTGCTGCCATCATTGCGATCGGCGCCCTGAAAGCCCAGACAAACCTTTGTGGGCTCCACAAACTGCTGCAACAGCTCGTCCACATTGCTGGCCCGTATGTCGATGCCATTGAGGGACTTGAACCAGTCGCCCCTCCGTATGGGCGGCTGCTCTTGATGCACAAACCCATCGACCATCAGGCATTCGGGCTGATCGACAAAGGGCAGCACCCGAAAGCCCAGTATGGACTCCACGGCTGTCGAGCGTCGTCCAAAGCGAAAGCGATCCGCCGCGGTTATAACCAATTCCAGTTGCTTGCTCTGCTCCGTCTGCAACGGCTTTATGTGTGCAAAGCGAAACTCTTCCACCAACTCGACTGGCGCCTGTTGACTCTGACGATTGCCATTGTGCTTGGTTTGGTGCTGTGATTGCTGGCTGTTCTGTTGGCGTCGTGTTGGCTTCTTTCCCAGGCGCAGCGACGAAGTGCGCCGCATAAACTCGACACGTCGGTCCGCTGTCGCTGATTGCGGGTTCGATGAGCTCGACCTCGCGTGCGGCACGTATTCGGCATAGAAGAGCGTGCCATCGGGGGCCACGAACTCCTCCCAGTTGGCCAGATCGCTGCCATCGCTGTAGGAATTGCTGAACGACGAGCTCGACGAATAGCTTTCGGATGCAGCATCGTCCAGACCCAGGCGATGGTCTCCGCCGCCGACGCCGCCGCCCATTAGCAGAGCCTGCGACTTACGCATGCCACAAATAATTCTCAGATCTAACTCTAATGGGCAATTAAAATCGACACATAGACACACACACGCACACACACAAGGACTGGCGCTGCTGAGCCGCTGGTTTGGCTTAGATGCTTTGCGACTCGCACGAAGACTGAAAGCCAATTTCAATCTTGGCCGCTTGCTGGCCGCGCTCTGTTCCGGAACTCAGAACAGGTTTTCAAGACAACACTCGTTTGCGTTTTATTATTCTCAGTGTTTCAGTGAGAACCAAAACATTCTCTGCTGCAACATTTTTCAGTTGACCTCTGGCTCTGAGAGCGATCTCCGGCTCAGCACTTACAGACAATGCCAAAAAAAATACAGGTCAGTAACTCCCCTGCCTGCGGATCATCGTCGCAATGCATTGAAAGGTGCCGAGCATCGTTATACATTTATGTATGTATTCCATCTATTTTATTTTATTTACGTGTATGCTCTCACGGCCTGTCCAAAATTCCTGTGTTGGTGTCTGGGAACGGGAATGCGAGTTTATATTTATCGGCCTCCGCCCCCTTTTTCCCGCAGTCTAACAATGATATATAGAATCAGATAAAGCGTGAAGCCATCATATACATACATACGATTATGTACATATTTATGTTGTAACTGTGCTTTGGAATGGAATAACATGATTTGTAAATCGCATTTTCGCTTGTGTAGGCTAATTTATTCTCTGATTCCTAATCCAGAATAGTTGAGTTGGTGAGCTTGTGCTTTTATATTAGTTTATTGTTGTTGTATTTGACAAATAAGACTGTCGATTTATTGAAAAACATTTTTGAAAAGCGAGTTTAAAGTGAACATTAAATTAAATCATATTTGGATTAAAAACCAGCACACACCTGATATCTGATTAAGAATTCTATTAAGGACAATTAAAATAAGCTGGACATAAAGATCAAAAAACGCGGAAGGATATTTTGTTGACTGATTGGGTCATAATCGCTGAAAAGCGCTTGACGCTGCCTTAAACAAAGTATTAAGTTTGTGGATTTTTGTTGGGCAAACTTTTTGGGATTAAAAGCTGTGCCTATTTATCTTTTTTAAATCCTATATGCACTTTAGTTTTCCTTTCGATATGTAGGTGGATATACTTACATAGTATTAGGTCCTTAAACATATATTCAACCAATCAATTTGGTCTGATTTCATATTCAAAATTTTATTCGAGTTAGCCCGACAGTGAAAAAACTGTTTCGGATAAAATAGAGAATGTGGAGAATTCTTTGTTAATTGCGTGTGCAACGTAAAGTTCATGTAGCTTTCAATTGTGGATGACATTTAAGTTGAGAGACTGAGTCGAACTGACACTTGTTTCTAAGATTTAAGCTCCCTGAGTTTACTTTATTTTCTTCAATTCGATAAACCAATGTATTTGAGTATCATTTGTTTGACAATTTTACAAACTATAAAAAGTTTGTATGTGTGTAAATACTAATTGGAATAATTAAGGCGAATGAAGCCTGTAAAAACGTTTAAATTAAAGAACCTTTGAACTAAAATATAAATGCCATTTCAGTTAATTTTTAACAAGTTTTTTAAAATGATTTCATTGCCTTAATCTTGCAATAATATAGTAGTGGCTTTATAGATAGATATAGTCCTGTTTAATTTATGAAGTTTTGCTCTTAAAAAGCATTCACATAAAATCGCTTAAATTTCTTGAAAACTTTAGTAGTAGTTTAAAATGTACATTTAATTATGGTGATATATTGTTTTGTACAAATTAAATAGTTCCTAGACTTACATAAAATTTGCAGTAATTTATAAGAATAATAAAAACATAACTAGGTACAAAAAATATGCCACACAAAAACACTAAATACAAATATCGACGGGCACTTAATAGGCAATATAAGTACAAGACATTAAACTTAACAACTATGAACAAGCATCGGGCTGGATCGACGACTTCAAAGGGTTGTGGATGGCACTGTGGGACTTATTTGACGTGTACGCGCTTCCCGAAATCGATCCTCGGTCAGATTCTGGCGCAATTCTCGTGCCTGCAACTGCCACTGATTGGCCAAATCTCCCTGTTGGCAGCAGCGTTTGCGCTCCTCTTCCAGCTCTTTCTGTGGGTGAAATAGTTTTCAATGAGTTAGGGTAAAATCTGGGAAAGTTAAAGCTTTTTTCCCCAAAAATATTATTTCATAATTAAATTAATTCTTACATAATACTGACTAAATATGTCAAAAGTAAAACGAAAAGACTTGCCAGTTCGCTTTCCTTTCCAATTTGAATACCTATTTTAGTTCCACGGGTATATGAGAATAATCTCGATAAATATAAAATAAACTTCATAAGATTTTAAATAGTAATGTTTAATTGAATGCGAATCGGTTCTACAGTTGTCATCCAATTTTGATTAATTAAACTCTAATTAGGTGCTAGCTATGAAAGGATTAAGCCCATTTCGTTAAGAGGGGATAGAGATTGCTTTGCGATTCATAAGACCCATGCCCACTGGTTAAAAGAGTCGCAGCTGAGTGGTTTAAACCAATTAAACCGGGGTAACTTGTAGTTCTATCTTGTCTTGCCATGTGAAGGGGCTATGGCCTGGCCGACAAACACTTTTAAAGATAGTTTTCTTGATAATAATCTCGGTAATAAAAATATATGTTTTTTTAAAAACGTTTTAATGCGATCACCAAACGAATCATTAAATAAATTTACAGAGAGTCTAATATTTTGTAATTTAACCCGGTTTGAAAATTTAAAATAGCATTATTTATTACATTATTCCATTTAGCACGATTTAAAATAACATATGATCAATGCAGTTTTTACACGACTTTTTCTGGAACCAATCTACCGTGTAAAAACAGAATTAGGTGTATTTTCATTGGAACGAACGGATGATTTTTTACTGCAAATATAATAGTTCCTCTTGAACTAGTGTCGTTACACTCACCAGAGTCTTCTCGCATTGGCGCTGCAAGCGCTCCAGTTCGTGGTGGGCCTTAACATCGGCATCGTAGTGCCGCTGCAGTTCGCTGTGCATGCGCGCGAGCATCTCCTCCGTGGTCTCGGTGGTTAGCTGTTTGATGGAAGCCGATTCCTTCGCCTCGCTGCGCAGTCTCTCGCACTCGGCGACCAGCTGCAAAGTTTTAGTAATTCAATTTCAGCGAGAGCGCGGCAGAAGCGAACTATTTAACTATTTAGTTGGTTTGGTTAGTTTGGGGGGTGGGGGAAGGACTTTGGCTCGGAAAGTGTTAGTAATCGAAGCCCCAAGCCTACACCGAAAAGTGTGTTAGTAGACATATAGTAGTATAGAGAGTTGTAGAAGTTGAAGGAGCCCTCGACATGCGCTCACCTTCTCGCGTATCGTGTTGACTTCACCGAGCTCTGCATTAAGTTTATCCTTTTGCACATCGAGCTTATCACAGAGCTCTTTGCGCGCCTCTAGATCGATTTTTAGGAGGCGCAGCTCATCGTGCGAGTCCTCCAGCTGCCGTTCCAAGCAACGTATATTCGAGCGCGCTGCGCTTAACTACAATTATCAATTATTCAGAGAGAAAGAGAGAGACTATATAGACTATATTAAAGTTGAGAGTGCGAGCGGACTTGCCTTATCCTCCAGCTCCTCCACTGCACACTGTCTACAGCGCAGCTTCTCCTTATACGAGCGTATTTCGCATTCCATCTCATAGATTTGCCGCCTAAGAACAAGCACATTTTTAGCATCGATTGCAGGTTAAAGGACATATATTTATATATATATAAACTCACTTTGATTCGGCTGCTTCGATTTCAAGCGTTTGATTGTTTCCTTCTAGCAGTACCTGATCCTCAGTCAGATTGCGATAATGATCCAGCAGCTCCTCGCGCTCCTTATCCTTTAAGACAAAGTATACCTATCGGCATTAGAATTTCGTACGCCTTAGGTTGACTTCAACGTACGTCTGGTCAGTTTTAATTACATACCTTCTCCATTAGCAAATCCTCCGCCTTCTTCACCTCCTGCACATATTGCTGCAATTGTTGCTTCATGTTCGCCACCTTCTGCTCCGAGTCCTTCAAGCTCTTCTGCAGCGTCCTAACTTCCACTTGTGCATCGCTCAGTTTGTCCGCAAGTTTTCTGTGAATAAAACATGGCACATCTTGAGCAAAAACTTCCCATAATCAACACTAGATATACAAGTATAAAAACGTAGCGCTTATGTAATCGCCGCTACCTTCGCTGCTGCTGCTGCAGCTAATGATCAACGAGTCGCACTTTTTTCTTTTTTGCAGCATCACAACCTGCACGGAAGTTGTTCTACACATGATGTGTGAATGTGTTTCATCAACAGTCCATATTGCTTAAATGAACATTTTTTCAAAATATCGATTAAATTTGCAAAATATGTACTAATTGTTATATTATCTTATCTATTCTCCAATCATCTATGATCTCTTACTCTTCTCTAAAATTAAGTATAGACATTTAATTTCATTCTGCAAAAGAGACGTTGGCTAAAAAAACTGTTAACTGCTGTTTCTCCCATTTATTTTATTTTCTGCATGGTCTGTCTTTAATTTCTAAATGATCAATTCGGCCCCTTCCAGTGGTTTTCTAGTGTTAAGCCATTATTGAATTTGGCCCTTTAAATACTAAAGTTTCATCTTAAACGGTAAACTTTATTACTGTCGTAGGGTACTAACCAGCAGGCTGGCATGACTTTAACGTTCTACTGTTTAATTAAATTACATATTTGGGAACAAACTAGACGGATTGAAAAATTGATCAACAATTATTATTGTGATATCAGTATGATTGAAATAGCTTTTCTATATAGATACTATAATTATAACACAATTTCGTCAATTGATTAAGTAAGAAGTCGTTTAGGTTTTGCTTAAAAAATCGCCTCAGTTAAAGAACGTCTTTATTTTCCCATTTTTCAATTTGATTTATTTTAACTCAGAAATTTATGGCGTCTAATAAAATGATATGATTTGACAGCGAAAATTGCGGCATACAAAAAAAAAAAAGATTGCAACGTTCTCAGTTTTATTTATCAATGCCTGATATAATTTCGATTTTACATAAAAACGTTAAATATTTGTAGCTAACTCATATGTAAGTCTCTCAAAGGTTTTCGTATTACTGCATTTGGGATATATAATCTATTTCTCTGATTAAGGGTATGTTAAGAACAAAATACTTTAACATAAAGGATTGAACCGTAGGAAAATGGACATTTCTCTTAAACATAAAACTTAAATTTAATGTTAGCTTTTTCTCTACGTTCCTAATGCCACTTCTTTGTGGTTTTGTAAGGGTTATCTACTTAGATTAGAGGACTACAAGTATATACATCATATAGGTGCCGTCCGTGGTTGTATTATTTCTACTACAATATAATAGAGCATCTCCCCATGACGTTTAATATGTACGTAAATATATGCAGCACTTGGCGTAGATTTTAATGTTTCTATTAGACCTGGAATAAATTTCTCTATTTCCACACATATCATAAGCATATAGAAATAATCCTCAGTAGAAGCTGTCTTTTCTTCAACTAACATTTTAATTTTAATTTCTCTATTTCCTCTTTTATCATAAGCATATAGAAATAATCCTCAGTAGAAGCTGTCATTTCTTCAACTAACATTTTAATTTAATTTTTTAATTTTAAATTTCTCTATTTCCACACATATAAGCATATAGAAGTAGTCCTCAGTAGAAGCTGTCATTTCTTCAACTAGCATTTTAATTTTAATTTAAATTGCTCTATTTCCACACATATCATAAGCATATAGAAGTAGTCCTCAGTAAAATCTGTTATTTCTTCATCTAACATTTTAATTTAATTTTTTAATTTTAATTTTCTCTATTTCCACACATATCATAAGCACATAGAAATAATCCTCAGTAGAAGCTGTCATTTCTTCAACTAACAATTTAAAGCCGGTACAATCCTTTTTTAAAAAACTATATCACAAACCTATAGAAACCATTCATAGTGGTAAAAGGAGCTTGGCATGAAAAGTGTTTTCTATAACTTTGCATTAAATCTGAGGCCCTTCTCTGCGCTTCTCATACCATTCACTTCAGTTAACGTTCGTTGTTGCCCTTTCCTTTTAGACAATACTTACTGTACAAAGGTACCTACCCATTCTCTGAAATGGCCTCATCGCGGCTCGCTTTGAGTGCCATAACTTGCTGGCGCAATGTTTTGCTTTCGGTTGAGGTTTCATTCAGTTCTTTATCTCGTTGACGTGTCCTGGTCGTTAGTTTGCTGCAAGAAACAGGTAAAATTTGATTATAGTCTTGACACAAAACAAATGACTGAGGCAGCAAACTTGCTGGCAGCAATTCTGGCTAACCAATAAGAGAGTGTACGACGACGAATGCGGGTACCCTAGGCATTTCAAGGGCGCTGCGATGGCCGCTCTTCGATTGCCAGCCAAGCGAAGAGCGCCTCATTCTAAGCACAACAAAGAACTTGAACATGCGTCGCACGTCCACTAACCACATCCATATCCGCGATTTGACTTGAAGCTCAAGAACAATGCCAGCTCATGCCCGTACATACAAACAAATAGTTGGAAGTACGTAGTATGTGGAGACGTGCAGGCAGCTCCGTTGATATGAGAAGCTAACTGTGTGACAGCGCCATGGCCAGTCAGAGCCCCAAGCCCGACGCTTCGACAGTCAGTCAGTGAGTCAATCATTAATGCCAAGCAAGTGTCACGCTCGTGAGCACAAAGCAAAGTTCAAATACCCACCATTGTAGCTGCACTTGGAAAAGCGGAATTAAATGTTGCCCCCATATTGAGATATACTCTGTAAAAATGGGGTCAAGGTTGTCGACAGACAGAACTTCAGATTTTTCTAAAATTAAAGCCAATGTTTTACCTAAATTTGACCAAAATCTGTTATTATGTAAAGTTAGTGGTGGAACTAATCGTACTTTGTAAATGGAATGAATGCTTGATTTTGGTTTAATTGACGAACAGTTCTGATATGTGTGTGAGATTATTTAGGAACCCGACTCTTCTAAGTAATAAATAAAATAAAATTGTGATAATCGATAATGGTTCCACACTAGATGTTCTTTTAAATCGAAATGAATAAATGATTCCCAATCCGGAAAAAAGATTTATTTAAATGTACAAAGCACCTGATTTGTTCGAACTTTTATGAAATTGAGATTATGTGCTGAATAAATTTGGAATGGCTATCATAATTAGCATATCTTTCTGATATATTCTCCCCTTTCGACTCAAATCTTTTGCCAAACAGTCACTTGGCAATGTTTAGGAACAGAAAAGACTAGCTCGATGCGGTTACAAATTGAAGAGTAGATGCTTTTTCAAAAAAGAAGGAGGTTATCAATTCGTCTAGTTTTTTTTTTATATATATAAAAAAACTGTACTACCTATATTTGTTTGAGGCATAGTACTCTCTCTCTCCAGCTCACCAGCTACCTGTACTGCCTTTGCCTTCTTCAGAACCGGATCTAGAAATCAAAAATATTAATTAATTTTTGTTCATCGATTCATCAACCAATAATTTGTACAGTTCTAGACTGAAATGGAAGTGCCAAACGGCGACTCTAGAAGCGATGCAGATGGGCCATGAACTTAATATAACTTGGCATTTACCTCGACGGTGTCTTCCCTTTCAATTAAAGGTGTTTTGCCTAAAGTTGGTTGCCTTAAACGATTATGAAATTGAAAGCTCGCTGTGAATAACGAAATAATTTTGGCAGCAGTTTAATGAAAGATCGAATTCTTCGATTTTAAGAACTAATTGAACATCAATGTCACTTTAACGATTTCGCCGGTAAGTAATGCGTCTAATGTTATGGAAAACAATATGAGAATTGTGATATTTTTGTCAGTGTGCTGACAATCAGACAGAGAGACAGAAAGACGAGTGCAGAACCCCAAATGGCTGAATCGGCACAATGACTGACTGACATTTGGCTGCTGCTGTTGTTGATTGCTTCGCTGCTTCTTGCTTCTTTTGGCCATGCGGGCAACCAAATTTAAAAATAGCAGGCGGCTCCAGTTTGCGTATTCGCTTGAATCGAACTGAAGAGCGTCTCCGAGTCGCTTGCCAAGAGAGCGCGCCTAACCGCAGAGAGCGGACCCTAGCCACGATCCAGCGACCAACGTCGTCTCAGACGTCTGTTACCTGCGCAAGAAAACGGTCATTGCAGTTGGTTAATCGCACGCGTTGGCTTCAATTCGTTTTGAATCGAATCGGATCGGTTCGGATTGGTTATTTTATTTGATTTCCCGTCTTTTCCGTTCTGCTGCATTTTTGTTTCCAATTCGTTAAGTTATATCGTAAATACATATAGTATTTATATCGGGTTTTTAACAACTAATCGTGCACTTGGATTTACCCGCAGAGCATTTAAAGGTGTTTCTCACAGCCTTCAAATCTTGCCAAACCAGACACATTAAACAGCCAAGGACCAACATACAAATTATGGCTACTTATGAGCTGGCTTTTTAATTCATTTGGCAAAGCTAATGATTTGTAGTATATAGTATTTGAAACGGGTGTGTTTTTTCTGTTTTAATTTCATGCAAAAAATCGAATTACTTATGGATGTTCATACATCTTTAAACTTTAATACTCGTATATTGGAATATAATACTTCCTAAATAGTGTTATCTTGGGTTTACGACTAATTGTTTGAATAATCTCTAAATATTTATTAGATTTCTAAGGTAATAGGCTTTATGAGTGTATCAGTATTATTGCTGAATAAATAAAACTTGTAGTTTTTAGACAGATCGGCTGTATGCTGAGTCGATTTAATAAAGTCTGTTGGCACGGTCCTGCGCTGTAACGCCTTCCTTTAGGAGACCTTAAGAGCATGCAGTTGTTATTTATTTATTTAAATATTCGGTGCACTAAGTAGGGATTTATTCTAAAACAGACTTGTAAGTCAAATCCGAACCTTATTTGTCTAGTGCGGAAGTTTTATTTTACGCTTGAAGTGTACGAAGCTAGACCTCTGCGAGTTCACTATCCGCTCTGAATGCCAATTACTATATATGCTTAAACTATATTTGCTTGAAAGTATCAATGAAACTGTTTGAATATTCATTTATTGCGATAAAAAAGTGCCACTTTAGTTGATGTGTGACATACAGTTGAAAGCGTTTAAAGGGAATTTGGATGTTGTAGAAACTTAAAATCAGTTTTCTATAATTCTATATGTTTAGTGCAGTGAATAAAAAGTAATTTACTTTTAATAGAACAACTCTTATTTATGATTATATTTACTGTGACTATTTGATCTTGAATATTAATTTGTTTTAATCTGTTTGTTACTAAAGCAAATTATTTTAGTTCAATAGAAAAGGCTGAGCAATTCTTTCAAAAATAACAGACAGCACAAATTATTCCAAGAGCTTATATGAATGATCTCATTTGACTGAGAGAAACAAATGTGTGGGAATTTGTGGCTTAAAGAAATAAATGAATAAAACTTAAGTGAAATGTGTTATTAAAACTAATTTACAATAAACATTCCCCCTTTTTTTTAAAAAAAAACTGAAAAGCAAGTAAAAAATTAATCTGTCTTCAGTGACTTCTTGCGGCGATTGTTTCTAAAATATAACCAACGATTTCCGGTGTTTTGTGTATTGAAATAAAAGAGTTCATTAATCGCAGCATATGCTTAGAATACAGATAATAATAAAAAAAACAGCAGACGTAATAAAACTTGGCCTAGGGCGGTAAAGAGAGCAACAGAGTCGAGTGATATGAAACCTGTTGCTATTACAGCAACACAGCGGCGGGTGTCCATCAACAGCAACTACAACAACAGCAGCAGCAGCAGCAACATCAGCAACTACAACAACAACAATAACCAAAACAAACGAAGGCAGTCAGACTGCGGTTGGGTTAATGTATTATTTATGGTAAAGCTCAGTCGTTGCCGCCGATGTTGGCGATGCCGCTTTAGTAGCAACAACAGCTGTTGCTGTTAATGTTGCTGCTGTTTGGCGCTGTTGTTGTTGTTGTTGCTAGTGTCGGAAAAGTGGGCAACTGGTGCAAAGTGCTGGCGCGCTTTTCCAGCGATGCGGCAGCGTCAGCGTTTGCTTGACTGCCTCCACTACATACTTGTACATATATACACACGTACATACATATATAGTCGTATGTACATGTTTCGTCAGAGAGCGTCGATTACATAAACTGCCACTTCGATTAACTCGAATTATGAGCGAATTATGAGGTCTGATTCAGTTATCAACAGAAGATTTCTGATGCAGTGGCAGGGCTGGGGTGGGGGTGGGGGTGGGGGAGGGGTCTAGATGCCAGGCAGGGGGCAAAGGAGCAGGCGCTTGCAGAAGTCAAGATAAATGGGTATTTGGGTCATGGTTAACAGCACACAAATCGCTTACTGGTTTCGTTTTTTCTCTCTTTTTTTTTTTTTGCTTGTGATTGCTACTGATGTTATTGTTATTGTTGTTGGTATTACCGCAGAAATGAAAAATAAAGGCAACAACCGAAAAACCATAGCAGAAACAAAAACAATAACAACCATAACTAAAACAGACGATGACCGACGCAGCGCACGCGATTCCCACACGTTGCCCAATTTAAATTGTATTTCGGACTCGGACGCGCTTCATATTCAAATGGCTTTAAAGCATACAACAACAATAAATTAGACATAGGCATGCATTAAGCACTCAGTCGGTTCAGAGCGCACCGAATCGCTGCTTAGTGGAGTTCAGCAAATTGAATCATGAATGGCATCAAAACGATCGATCGATCGATCAGGTTTCCTTCAATTCGGCCACACAATAGAAAAATCATCAATCATGCAACATAATGAGCTACCACCGTCGATGGTTTAATGAGGCGCTAACGTTCAAATGGCCAATTCGGCGCCATTCAGTGAAAGCCATCGAAAATTGCTAGTCGCTTGTACAAAACAAATCAAAAATCAACAACTGTTGCCCAAAACGATTTAATTTAGTGCATCATAACCCTAACCCTCTGGCCTTCTCATTGCAGACGCTGAGTCTGCGCGCGCGCGAGGCTGAATGAGGCGCCGAAAGCTGCTCATCTGCTGGGCCGCTCTGCAGGCGGGCAGCGGCATCTTAACATGCCTGCTGCTGCTCTTGAGCCAGCATCCGGCTGCTGCCGGCATTGTGCCGCCACCCTGGAGCGATCCCGCCAAGAATCCATGCGCCAGCATGGCCGGAGGCTGGCAATTGCTTTACTGGACGCCGCTGAACAAATGCTTCAAGATCTTCACACTCGGCTTTCCCTGTCCGGAGACCATGGAACTGAGTCCCACAGCGGTTAGTGCCAAGCGCAAGGATGTGCCAGCGGCCGAGTGTCGTTGCCCACCGGGAACGGCACTCAGTGCCATCGACAATGTATGCCATAAGATCTACGAACGTGGACCCTGCCAGTTTGGAGAATACTTTCAGCCCGTAACGGAGCAGGCAAAGGCTAGGTAAGTTAAAGGGTGTTTTATCGGTTTAGAAGGAAAGAGCATAGAAAGAAGTTTGATTACAAGGGTTTTTGTTTATCAAAGGTGGTAACATGACCTCACATTTTAACCTTTTATTGGGTCGAATTTTTCAATATTCAATCTTTGTGTGTCAAAAGGCAATTAGGTGGCCTTATGGTTTGGGCCTTGGTGAATCAATAAAGGGGAGAAAAAAGGGTACTTACTATCGGGGTGTCTAACTTGTATATATGTGTTGAATAATGCTATCAAGAATTATTGGACTAAAGTGGAAATGTAGTATTTAAACATGAGGAGAAAAGCATACACTCGATAAAATGGAATGATACTAGCTTTTTGAACTAAAAGAATGCTGTTAAAAGATAAAATATTCATTCGGTTTTTGCTATTTTCTTAATATTTTAAGGCAGGAAACCCTAGCTAGTTAGCGGTTTAATGTATCGTTGTATTGAAGAATTAGTAAGAGGGATCTCTTTGTATAGATTTAGTTTGATTCCGTTTTTGTTAACATTAGAAACCCTTTCTAAGTAGTAAGTATTTCGGCATATATTACAATTAGATGCCAATTGTGATGTTCTAAAAGAAATATTTCTGTCGGCTCTCAGGCAGTTCTAAGAAATAGTTGTTCTAGTGTTCTACTAACGCAGTAAAATTAAATTTATAAATTCTGCATAATCAACACAGCCCAGTCATGAATCAAGCGGAAGAGTAGAGATCATATATATTCTCCACCTCACATTTTAGAAAATATGATCTCTTCTTAAAAGATCCTATCCACTGTCTTAATGGTTCTGTTTTCATACTTTCAGATCTGGAAACGGCAACGGTAACAGCAATCGTTGGGGCAGCTGTCGGCGCCCATTGCAGTGTTCGCCGGGCATGATCTTCTGGCCGCGCGACAATAAGTGCTACACGCAGCATTCAAAGGGACCCTGTCATAAAGGAAAACTTCTCGTGCGGAATAACGACGGTCTGGCCGAGTGTCAGTGTGAGGATGTGGGGGAGCTGAGTGCCTATTACTATCCGGCCGAGGAGTCCTGCTACGAGCATTATACCAAAGGACCCTGCTCTACGCCGGGTCACATTTTTTTGCCTGGCGGTCGTTGCGACTGCCAGCGACATTTGCCACATTATTATGCGCCACAGCAAATGTGCTTCGAGTTAGGTGGGATTTGTAAGGTTAAGTAGTGGAGTTGTGCGGCACCCAAAGGGATACTAGGGTATACTTTTGGTGAGAATCACCAAACTTGCTATTCACATGCCCCTGAATAAGATACAGTTTACAAATTGTTTAAAATAGCCATGTCTGCCTGTCCGTCTGTATGAACTAAAGAATCTCGGAAATTGTAAGAGCTAGAATCACCAAACTTGCTATTCAGATACAGTTTACAAATTGTTTAAAACATCCTATATACTTCACCCCTGCTATAAAAACCACTGACTAATGCTTAAGCCGCACAGCTCTACTACATTACTTGCCTAAACTTTTCTTCAGACTATATAATAATTCAAATTTGAATATTGTCAATAGTTCAGCTACACAGTTTAGTCTTTTATAGACACACCGGGACCCTGCCCTCCTGGTCATATATATCGCATACCCGACGATGATGGCGACGGCGAAGATAATGGTACAGCGGATGGGAAAGATGACAGTCAAAAGCCTCTAGAACTGCGTCTGCTGCCTCGTGCCAAGTGCATTTGCAAGGATGGCTATGTTCCTTGGAGCGATGGCATCTGTTATAGACTTTATACGAGGGGTCCTTGCGCCGCCAATGAGTTCCTGATCAATGCTACCACATGTGTGCCGAACTTTTGCGGCAAGAATCGCCTTTACTTCCCCGCTGAGGATTCCTGCTATCGCATTGGCTCGCAAGGACCCTGCGCTATACACCAGGTGGTAGTCTTTGATTTCACAGCACGACCCTCGCTTGATGGCATCTCGTATAATGGCATGTGTGGGTGTGCGGGCGTAATCACCAATCTAGACCAGCAGTGCTCTGGAACTAGAGATCACGAGCAGAATATCTGCGAAGCTACGCCGGGCATGGTGGAGCTGAATGGTCAATGCTACAAACTGTACACGCGTGGTCCCTGTGGGGCTGGCCAGTGGTTGGAGCCCTTGAAGGGGCAAACACTGGAGACGCAGACAAATGGCACCAGATTGTTTGCCCATGGCAACAAGGCCAAGTGTGTGTGCAGGCCGGGCTACACACCTTCCGAGGCGGGACAGAGCAGCAGCCCAGGCAGCAGCGGCACAGGCATGCATAATTGCAGTGCGCCGAGCGTCAGTCTGGCTAGGTATTTAACCAACGAGCGACATAATTCCAAGTTCCTCAATCTCAATGAACTGCAATACGGTTCCCTGTGACGGGTGATATTTCCAAGCTATCGCTATCTATGTTACTAAACTAGTTATCTTGCCACCTCGGCGCATGCCTCCTCGTTTCCCACTTCCACGCTATACATATAAAGAGATCTATAAATGGCAACCTATGGCCATCCAATATGCATGCCTCACGTAATTTTCGAGTGCAACTCGCTGATCTTCAAAATTAATTCAATTTCGTTTCTTTCGTTTTAGGTGGTTTTTAGAAATTTTTGGCTAACAGTCACGCGGCCTCTCTTTCTATTTAAGTTCATAAATATATACACAGACATATACATATATATTGGAAGCGGGGGAACGCGGGGTTTAGAGATTGTGCCATTAATGTATTACAACAAATAATAAAAAGAATTGTTAATAGTATTAACTGGTCGAGCATATTTTGAACAACAATCTATACTCGTTTGGAGCTGCTTATATTTAAAGATAGAATCATTATTTGTCTTTTCTCTTCTCGAATTTTTCACAATTCTTTAAATACTTTTCGTTCTATTTTAAAATAATGTTTCATTCTCTATTATTATACCCTCATTCCTCACATCTATCAAATCATTGTATATCTTTTAAAAAGGAAATACTTAGTTACTTACTGAATCTGCTCCTCCAGTTCTCTAGCTTTGAGTTCCAAATCATTGCGTTTTTCCTTGCAATCTTTAAGCTCGTACTCTAATTTGCAGGCACGCTCTGTTTTGTTATCCAATTGATTCTGCCAAAGAAATTGTTGTTCATCATTATTTGAGTAAAGCATTACATAAAACTAATTGTTTACCAGCAGCAAATCCTTTTCATGCTCCAGACTCATGTAAGTTTTCCTGAGGGCAGCCACTTCGCTGCGAAGCTGCGTCACTTCACTGCGACTGGTTTCCCGATTGGAGTCCAAAGTGTTGACACGCACATCGGCTTTGTGCAGCTTACTCTCGGCTACGATTAGCCTGCTCTGATAATCAGCTATGATGCGTTCGTTTTTGTCATTAAGCATGCTGCAAGAAGAGCAGGTATTGTGGTTTTTAAATGATAAATTTATATATTTGATATAATTGATTAGTCACTTACGTTATTTGAGAGTTTTCTGTATTCAGCTTCTCAACTTCTTTCTGTGCCGCTGCCAATCGCTGTTTTAATTGATCCACATCCTCCCTTAGCCGTTTCACGTTTATCTCTGCGGGCACTTTAGCCGTGTTGAGGTCCTGATTTTCGCGTTCAATAGAACGCAGACGATCCTGTAAACTTTCATTACGCATTCGGAGTGCCTGCAACTCCTCGGCATGCATTTGAATGGCGCACAGATGCTTCTCGCGCAGCGTATCCCGTTCACAACGGAAGCGTTCTAGTTCAGCACGCGCACAGTCTCGTTCCCTCTCCACTCGCGCAATGGCTGCTTGCACACAATCGCTGCGATTACTATTGTTGACGGTGGCAGTGCAAGTCAATGTTTCGTAAAGTGCGCTCTTAACTGGCGACACATGCCCCTTGCTAGCGCTCGTCATGCAGAGCTCCGTACGCAGCGTGCGTAACTCATCATCTTTAGACTTGATTTGCGCTTGAAGGAACTCGATTTCGCCCTCCGAGCCGGCTTTGCTCATCATTCGCAGATATTCCTTCTGGAAGAAGTCACGCTCCGAACGCAGACGTATTTTCTCCTCGTCCAGAGTCACAGTGTGTCGTTCCATTTGCTCGCGCAACTCTTTCTGCAGGGCAGTCATCTTATCGTGCATTTTGTGGAGCTTTTTCTTTTGCTTTTCATTGCACGTCTGCAGCTCCTCTTCACGTCGTGTCAACACATTAAGTCGCTCGTTCAGACTTCGCTTGTCATTGTGCATAGCTGCCGAGGTACCTGCGGTAAGACGTTGTGCCGTCATACGCTCCTTAGTTCGTTGCTCGTTTTGCAGATGCAATTTCTTCAGTTCGTCCTGTAGTTGACGCAGTTCGTGCTCGCGCGCATCTATTTCAGAGTTAGCCTGCTGCTCCACCTGCAGTGCTGCTTGCTTCAGCTCGTCTAGATGCGTTTGCAAAGAACGCTTATCTTCCTCGGTCCGTAAGGCGCGCTGCATGGCATCATGCATTTTATCTTGATACTCACGAACCTGCGACATCAGTTCGGTTTTTTCACGCTGCAGCAAATCGATGTCCTGCGACAAGGCGCCCACCTCTTTGTAACAGCAGTCCTTGGCCAACGCCACCGGTGGTCGACCACCGGTTAGCATATCGTTTAGCCGCCGAATTTCGCGATTACGCGACTCCACTTTGCGTTTGTAGAACTCTAGTTGGTCGTTTGCACTGCTTAAATCATTCTGTAACTTATCGAGCTCTTCCTGTCCACTGGTGTTGGTGATTGTTATGCCGTCCTTGGTTTTTGTTGTGGTCTTCTGATAAATGCCGGCATTGCATTTTGTGCATTTGAAGGCGGAGGTGCCTGCTAAGCCGCCGAGCACAGGGGGCAGTGACTGGCCAGCGCGAACTGTGCTTATAAAGGGCTTTTTTACTGCAGAAACAGCAGGAATTCAATCAATTTTTAGTGTTTTTTTCAATACCTATTCAACATACCTTGCCTGGGAGGAACAGCTTGCGTGCGTTTAGTCGCAGTGTTTATTTGTTTGGTTAGCACAGCGTCTAGCTGATGCTGTAATTGCTGATTGTGGCATTGCAAGTGCTCCTTGTCTGTTTGTAGGTTGCGTACCTCACGCTGCAACTCTGAAAAACAGCCACAGGTTCATTCAATCTGCTTCAGTGTTATTCTCTCGACTTACCGCAGAGTTGTAGCTCATAGTCCTCGCGCTCCTTCAGGAACTGTAGGTGCAGCTCATTGCATTCAGCCAGTAGGCGTGAGTTGTCACACTTGTACGGCTCCACTCCTAATTCCCAACAAGCTTTTTCCTACAAGATCGAACACAGGCACACAAAATTAAAATTCCATTATGAGCACTCCTATGACCAAAACAATAGGGCGCCTAGCAACGCTTGACCCATTTATCAGAATAGGGAGTACGTAAGCCCATATATAATTCTGTAAACCTTACCTCTAGCAGGTCCGCCACTTGCTTTTTGGTATCACGCAAACATTCCGTTGTTTTGATCAAGTCCCCGAAAATGGCGCTAACCAAGGGTATCGCCAGCACAGGCATTGTCTGATTGAAACCCATGACGTCGAGCTTCTTACGCAGATCCTTGAAGTCGCCATCGTTAATATTCATTGGCAGTGGGCTGAATGTGGCACGTCAGTGTAAAAATAAAACCTAAACAAAATACAACAAATTGAAACACAAGCAACTGTGACGCGCCGCAGCAATGTGTGTTGGAAAACGTTGAAGTCTGTGGGAAGGCAGCACGCTTTTCACCACTGCGCCAATATTCGATAAATTGAATAACAGAAGTCGGTACTGAGTGCGCGCCACGAAGCAAACGAAATGAAATTTGAATTGAGGCATTGAATTTATTCAACAACAAAGCAATTGAAGTTCTTAAACATAAATGGTGTGTCTTCGTCCGATATGAAATTACGTTCGGGTTTTTCAGATGCAAATGGGTTTGTGGTGGGTGGCAGCACAATATTGAAATGGCGATTTGATTCATTCACAAAACGACTCATGTCCAGAGGAGCTTCATAGTTTGTATAGGAAGTTACCACAATGGGGCATTTAAGGTCCAAGGCCGCACGTATTGTGTCAGGCCAAGTATCTTCAAGAGCGTAGCCAGTAGCGCGGTGAAGACCCGAGTTGAAAAAGCAAACTTTATAACAAGAGAACAATAAATACAAATATAATGGAAACTAAACTAATAGTCTGTCATACCTATATCAGGTTTTAGAAAATCCGGCTGTGCACAATAGTCGTGAAATAAGTGATTTTCAAAATGATATTGCACCGTTCGTTGTGCTTTGCGGCATAAGCGACAGCATCTGCAAATATAAAATGATTTTTTGAATACTGCATTTCTACTGATAACTAAATATACACACTTCATCTTTTTGAGTTGCTCAAAGGATATATTTCGCGGATTTAGCTCGGGTCCTACAAAGACCACATTCAAAGTCTTCACAGCTGGTGTTAAGTGCAACAAAAAGAGCTCCCACTTCTGCAGAACATCAACTTCAAACTCGATTTCTGCTCCTATCAGATGCACGGTTAACTGCTCGTAGTTACGTAAACGTTCGCAGAGCTTCAGGGCGTACCAAGCCGTCAAAGGTCCGGTCGACACTTGAGTCAGTGCAGCGTACTCGCACTGATCGGTAACATCTGAAAAATATTCTCTCTATATTGAGTACTTTATCTTTTTGTCTACTGAGACGTGCTCTTACTGAAATTTAATTTTTTCATCATTTGTCTGGTATTACAACAAGCCATGGGTAGATCCTTCAGCACTCTATTGGGCAACGATGGCTCCAGGCGTCCAAACTTATCTTGGAACACAACAAATGCCTTGAAGAGTTGATAAGCGGCACACCACAGGGCATGGTTCGAGCTTAGATGATTTGGTTTATCCTTGCAGAATGATACTTCGCCACAATTCCGGCACACATCGAGACGCTTAAAGCGATGCTCGCGGCATTTAATATCATTACAGATCCGAGGAAAGAGCAGCACTTCCTGCTCGGTAGCTGTGAGAGGCCGATTCATATTCTTTTCTAATTGCCGTATACAGACAATGCGGTATGAACGAAACTGTTCGTTGTTAAAGTCGCCACATTTGTAGAAGATGTCATGGCCTGGAAATGGATAATAGGATTTTCAATCGGAAAACAAACAAATTGCAGCCCTTTTTAAATGTGCATAGAAGACAAGCAACAGGTAATTTTTTAAACTTTTATACATACAATTTTAAGAAAAAATGAAATCGTTATTAAAGCGTTTTTCCGAAGTGTTGTTTTTCAGCTTATATGTATGTTACATTTTGCATAGGAAGTGTTAAGAGAAAAATTGATCCAAATTGCCAAAATTTCAAATAATTTTAAGCGTTGCACATTATTTGTGCTTGTTTTGTGCAATAATAAATGCAAATAAGTTGACCGATTTCTTGGATGAATCAAGCTTTGCTTATTATTCAAAATTGGAGGCTAGAGCAGTATTGAACGGATGGAAAAAAACTTCCAAAATATTGCTAAAAGGCGTCAAAAAACATCTAATGCACAATATAATGAATTAATGAGAAATAATAGATATGTTGTTAATATTTGAATTGTTTGTTAGTTTTCCAGTTTAAAACTTCCTCCGTAAATGCAGTTGATGAATTTCTGAACAAGAGAAGTATGTTCTTAACAAAATTAAAAATTTACATATGTAACTGTCGTTAAGAAAGACTAATTCATAGAAGATCTGATCTATACTCAGAGATGACAATTCGTGTCTGGAAATATAAAAAAGTCCTAATGTTCTGACTATTCCTTAAACAATCCTCTTTTTTCATCACCCCCGTGCACGGGCCTGTCTATACCACAATATTACTAAAAGTTATCAAATACCACTTAATGTATTTCTAAAAAACTCATTACTCATTCCTGCTCTTGCATTAACTGTCAATCTTTGGCTAAAACACATTCAAATTTTGCAATAAATGTCTAATTCCCGATCCACCTACCATTATGTTCCACCAATTGCCGCAGGCCGTAGCATAGTTGACGATGGGACTGATCATTCTGCATGTGGGCGGCACTGCAGTAATAACTGAGACCACAACGAGTGCAGGGGAGTGGCTGCAGTCCTCGAAGATCAGCTTTGCATAACTAAAAATTCGCATTATTTGCAGAAAGTCAATAACCTAATGGTGCGCCGACTTACATTGCACAGAGATACCATGAAATAGGATCTTGGTCTGTAGATGTATTCCACATACTCGGCTTCATCGTCTGAGGATTCAATATCGCTTACTGGCTCCTGGTTAAATAATCTGCCCAGATTGCTAAACAGCGTGGCAGTCGCTGTGGACGTGTCGACGGCTCCTGCTTGGAAAACTTCTTTAAGTATCACACTCCGGGATACATAGTAGTATATGGACAGAAAATAGGAACCTACCTTTCTGTAGCTTGCCGCCAATGCATTTTAAAAGCTCACTCATTTCATCGGTTTTCTTCACGGGCATGGCTGGTGGAGGGACCTCAACTGGTACGGAGGGCGATCTTCTACTATTTTTACCTGCTTCCTTGCTCTTGGCTAGCAATTTATTGCGCAGCAACTGCTGAATTAATCTAATTGCATCATTAGTTTTCCCAGTGGGAGCGGATGGCTCCTTCTCCACATTGCTGGAGCTGGAAATAGCAGCATCACTTTGATTGGGCGAGTCACCATTATCCTTCGTTTCATCAACGCGATTACATTTGTTTCTAGGACGATTGCGGACCCGTGATTTTTTCTTATTGGCCGCATGCATAACATCAAGTCTATTCATCTTAGTACGTTCTCGTATGTGTGGTTATATGATTTTAATTAGCCCGCTGTACGACGTCTGTACAAGCCGATCGTACACGACATAGTGCGCGCAAATACAAAAGTATGCAGAACAAGGCGCATTGTTCTTGGCCCTGCCTTCTCTCTCATGAACGACCAGACACAGCTCATAGCCAGCCGGTTATTTCGTAGGCTATTTGTAGACATAGCTGGCAACGACAGCGACAGCCGGCACGGGACCATACAGCATTATCAAGAGCGTGTTTGATTTGTTTTCTGCTATAATGACGACAATAAGAACAAAAAGCCAACAACAATTGAAAAACCAGCTTGTTTGATGAGTGGGTCAGGGTGTCGTCCATTGCAGAATATACTACATTTGCAGTAGCTTTAGAATTTGACAGCTAATTTGTCTTTTAGTATAAGTATTTGGTGTGCTTCCTTTGCCAACAAAAATATTCATTACGTATTGTACACGCTTAACGGCCAAATTTCCATCCATTCACAATGCTTTCGATTATACAACCAGTTCACAATTGGCAGCAAACCTGCAGAGCGGCCATACAGTAATAAATTCAAAAAACTTCCGTTATATCGTGAATATATTTCCTTTAACTAAATCAAAATTGAAATGCAAGCTACCTTAGCTTGTTGATTAATAATTTTTGTATTTATTATTTAAATTCAACACAAAAACTCAAACTTACTGGCAAACCTTCTTTATACATACATAAAATATATTTTGGAATAGACAACTTTCCTTAGTTGTTTTCAAAAATTGCTGACTTTTTATGGGGGAGCTGTGAACTGTTGATCGACAAAATCAAATTTCAAATAGAACTCAGGAAGATGAATAGGGAATGTAAATTGTAAGTAAATGAATTGGAATATGGAAAGCAGTTCAATATAATTAAAAGATATTCATAGATAAGGTATTGTGAAATTGCTGATACATTAAATGCAAATATTGTGTGCGCCCACTGCGATACTCATACCAAGCACCTAAGTGCTGGCAAATCGAGAACTAAATTGTGAAATTTCATAAAACTTAAATAATAATAAGGTGGATTTAAATTGTGAAATTTCTGATAAATTAAATTAAAATATTGTGGGCGCTCTCCTCTGCGATTCTCATACCAAGTACCTAAGCGCTGGCAAATCGAGAATTAAATTGTGGAATTTTTAATAAAAAAAAATAAATTAAATAATAAATTTGTGAATTTAAATTGTAAAATTTCTAATAAATTAAATGAAAATATTGTAAGCGCCCTCCTCTGCGGTTCTCATACCAAGTACCTAAGCGCTTGCAAATCGAGAATTAAATTGTGAATTTTCTGAAAACATGAATAATAATAATGTGGATTTAAATTGTGAAATTTCTGATCAAATTAAATGCAAATATTGTGGGCGCCCTCCTCTGCGATTCTTATACCAAGTACCTAAGCGCTGGTAAATCGAGAATTAGATTGTGAAATTTCAAAAAAATTTAATCAAAATATTGTGGAAATAAATTCTGAAATTTCTGAAAAATTAAATGAAAATATTGTATTGTGAAATTTCTAAAAAAAAATTAAATAAAAATATTGTGGAAATAAATTCTGAAATTTCTGATAAATTAAATGAAAATACTGTGTGCGCCCTCCTCTGCGATTCTCACACCAAGCACCTAAGCACTGGCAAATCGAGAATTAGATTGTAGAATTTTTAATAAAAAAAAATTAAATAATAAATTTGTGAATTTAAATTGTACAATTTCTAATAAATTAAATGAAACTACTGTGTGCGCCCTCCTCTGCGATTCTCAGACCAAGTACCTAAGCGTTGGCAAATCCAGAATTAAATTGTGGAATTTTTTATAAAAAAAAATTAAATAATAAATTTGTGGATTTAAATTGTAAAATGTCTGATAAATTAAATGAAAATATTGTGGGCGCTCTCCTTTGCGATTCTCATGCCAAGTACCTAAGCGCTGGCAAATCCAGAATTAAATTGTGAAATTTCTAAATACTTAAATACTTGTAATAATATTGTGGATTTAAATTGTGCAATTTCTGATAAATTAAATAAAAATATTGTGGGCGCCTTCCTCTGCGATTCTCATACTAAGTACCTAAGTGATGGCAAATCGAGATTTAAATAGTGAAATTTCTGATAAATTAAATCAAAATATTGTGGAAAATAATTCTGAAATTTCTGTTAAAATAAATAACAAAATAGAACGCTACCCTTTTGGGTACAGGGTATAAAAATGTACTTATTGTGCTCCTTCAAATTCAACACCCATCATTTTATCATTATATAAATGGGCTTATTTCTATATATATTTTGTTTCAATCTTTGTGTCAAAGTAGGTAGAAATGTTAGGGTCTAAGTGAAATACTTATTTTTCGGTATGCCTCTTCACAAATAAATGAAAGTACTTACTATATTTCAAATTTTTTTCTAAAAATATTTATATTGATACTTTAATAGATTCAAGACTTTATAACTTAACTACCCGTACGTAAATTTACATATGTATGTTTGAAGATTGAATAATAGATCCGAATTACATACACAAGATTATAAGAGTTAAACTTTTTTTTCCGAAGACACGCGAGGTTGGGGCCAACTTCTAACGATTTTGGCTAATAACAGTATTTAGGATACATAGGGGACTTCAAAAAATTTCGAGGAAATATATCAGAATTAATCTGCACCACAGGCAACCTCATTATCCGACGCACTGGTGCTGCCGCCATTCGCAGTACCATTCTTATGTCCGTTGATGGGCAATAACTGCTGGCTGCCCGAGCTACTGCTGTTCGATGAGGAGCATATTTTTTGTGCTCGAAATGAACGCGTCAAGCCGGCAACGTTGTCCTCTTCTTCGGACGATGCGTCCGATAATTGGCGCGGGGACAGACGACATCCACGCATAATGTATTGATCTAGTCGACACACCGAGGCGAGAATTAAGCCCAAAAATGGGGGTGACGGTTTCAATGGCCGCGATAAGTACTCGGGATGGTATTGTGTGGCGACAAAGTAGGGATGGCCACTCAACTCAATGATCTCCATGCGGTTCATCTCGACGTCCGTGCCAACAAACTTCAAACCATGCTCCTCTAATTGTGGCACATATTTTGGATTTACCTCGTAGCGATGGCGATGGCGCTCCTCCACTGATTTGGGATTTCCATATAACTGTCTTATGATGCTCGGCTTATCGCTAAAGATAGTGGTGCGCTTTCCTAATCGCATTGTCCCACCCATCTGACCCGTATGATGTTCGGGCATATCAATGACCAACGGATTGGCTGTCTGGGGCTCAATTTCTGTTGTGTTGGCATCCTTAAGGCCTAGTACGTTGCGCGCAAATTCTATCACGGCTGCCTGGAGTCCCAGACAAATGCCTAGCAATGGTTTACGATTCTCTCGCGCCCACTGACAGGCGCGTATCTTGCCCTCCATGCCGCGCGACCCAAACCCGCCGGGCACCAAAATGCCATCACTCTCGCACAACTTCTGCCACTCCTTGTGGTAATTGGAGGGCTCGCGTTGTAACGTCTCCTGCTCCAACAGGCACGACTCGATGAAAGTCATTACCAGCTTGCGATTAGCAGCGAGTGCCGCATGTTGCAGGGCCTTCATCAAAGACGCGTATGCATCCGTTAGTTTCGTATATTTGCCAACAATGGCGATGTTCACCTCTCGTCGCACGGTTTCGGTGCGTCTCGCCAAATCACGCCAATGTTGCAGACATCTGCAAAAGGAAAACAGAGACTAATCAGATCCAGCATATTATTCAAACAAATTTTGTTTGTCCTTAGCTAAACTGTCGTCTGTATCTAAAAATTAAAATAAAATTTTAACTAACAAATTTTTCATCCTAGCATTTCGCTTGACAGTTTCCACTAGAAACAAAAAAAGAACGCATGTAAAACAGACGTGAAAATTAGCTATAAGCTCCATCCAAAACAAATATGTTAAGTTTCAAGAACATATCTATAATAAATTTTAATGTATTGCTTACAAAAAGAGTTTCTCAGTTTTAGGTTTAAATTTCCTGGTTTCTAATTCAACTTGAACTTTTTACATTTTAAAATTCACAAAAATCACAGAACGGTTTAAGGCTATGCTAAACATATGTATCTTTTCTAAAGCATTCTTCCATTCGAGTAATAGACTTTGCCCCGGTCAGCCCATTCTAAATAATTAGCTCCTTAAACACTTACTTGGCTCGCAGACTTAAATCAATATTAAGCTGCAGTCGCTCGTTCAGATATTCGATGACACCATTCTGTTCCATCAGCAGCGGCACATGATATATGGAATTTAGATCGTGTATGCATATAACCTGATCGGGTCCGACATGACAGAAATTGCTAATCTTCTCTTTAACCTCCACGCCTATAGGTTTCTCAGAGCGACACACAATTAGGTCGGGACTCAAGCCAGCGCCGCGTAGCTCGCGAACTGAACTCTGTGTGGGTTTCGTTTTCGGTTCACCCGTTGCCTTCGGCAGCGGCACCAGCGACACGTGGGCGACGCAGAAATTCTCGCGTTTCACCCGAAATTGAAACTGACGAAAAGCCTCGACAAAGGGCATGCCCTCGATGTCGCCAATGGTGCCACCCAACTCAACGATGCACACCTGCGGCATCGAGGAGCCCTGCACCGGAGTCTGGGCAACGCGTTCCACCCATTCCTGTATAGCATCCGTAATATGTGGCACAACTGTAAATAGAGAATGGGAAATTAGGTAAACTCGAACTAAAAACTAAGATCTTGTGGTAAAATTAATTGCAAAAATTCGGTATGTATTCTACAGAAGAATAATAAATATTTACAATTCATAGTTTAGAACTTCTATCTTGGACTGTAGAGGAGTGTTATATTCGAGTTTTACATTCTTTATAACTAATAATAGCTCAAACATAATTATATAGCTTTATAGAGTTATACACAGGCCTATTTTCTTTCCGAATTGGATGAAATTGTTAAATTTGCGGTTTTCACAAAATGAGACAAATAATTTCACAAATTTAATTCACGCTTTTTTTGCGTGCAAAAAGGCAGATCTTTACCGACTTTATAATAAATATATCAGCATATATTTAAGGAAGCTTAATATACATATCTATATGTTCAAAATAAAATGTTTATCATTTAAAAATTGACGAAATTACATTGAATATTGTAAGAATTGATACAAATATTTAGAAAGTCTTAAATTATTTTATAAATCGTATTGGTGTTGGTTTTACTTTTTACTTTTTTGTACTTTTAAAATCCATCTTTATATGTCTTTTGCAAATAATTTTAGTTTTGTTCCATTATGTCATACGTACCCTGCACAGTCTTTCCCAGATATTCTCCAGTGCGCTCCTTCTCGATGACCAGCTTATAGATTTTCCCGGTGGTTATGTTGTTATCGCGATGCAGTGTGATATCCAAGAAGCGTTCATAATTGCCCAAATCTAGATCCACCTCTGCACCATCGTCCAGCACATAAACTTCACCTTTAAATAATAAAATGGTAAAATATATCGTTAGGTAATCTCAAGTACAAGCAACGTACTGTATACCCACAAAGTCAATAAAGTGCTGAAAGCGTCTAAGTATTATTTAATAATTGTTCTTTTATTGTTCATCTATCTGTCTTTGAGCTTAGGCATTAAACGGCGAGCGCCTAAGAGGCGGCAACGCTCAACTAGAAATCAATTAATCAATGACGTCGCATGGCAAATACAACTAAATATATATCTATATATATATATTGTACATATACGTATATGTACCTATACCTAAAATACAGTGTGCGCTTATGTACAGTCTTCAGCTTAACGCTACAAATTGCGGTGAGGTGCAACTACTTGGATTCCTCCAAGTCCTCCTTGTAGAGCTCCTTGAATATGAGTTTTTGTATTTTGGTGCGTATGCGCAGCTTTTGGGCCGCCGTCAATTGCTTCATGTATGGATGCAGGCTGAGCAAGTAATGGTAGTCATCGTCCTCCGGCACCAGCGGCACATCCATCGTGGAGGAACCATTAAAATTGCTATCCTCGGAGAGGCGAGGTCGCTTCAGTTTCAGCGCTGGTATCAAACCATTCGCATAGGAGTGTTGTGTGAAGTTCAAGTGTTCGCTGCCTGGGCCGCCACCAGCTGCTGCCGCCGCCGCTGCCGCCGAATACTCTTCGCCACGCTCTTTAGCGGCATGCAGACCGGCCGAGCCGTGCGTCGCCAGCGGATGATGTGCCTTATTGTAGAGCGGTGGTGGGGAGACGGAACGTTTGGCCACACCCAGCGTTGTTGTTGTTGTCGCTTGGCTCGAGGTGCAGGATGACGCAGAGGTTGTGGTACTGGCCGGTGCCAGCACCGTGCCAGGCAATAGCAGTTGTCCTTGCATGGTTGAGGCTGCCAGTGATGTTGTTGTTGTGGTCACCATCGGCGGCGGCGAACTGTGTGCCGGCGGTGTCTCCAGCGCTTGTCTGGCTGTCGCTGCATTAATGCACTGCGTGGATTTCTTGCTAAGATCCTGCGCCTCCCTCTCCAGCTCGAGCAGCTGTGCGCGCAACAGGCCTGCTTTGAGCAACGCCTGCTGGTGCGATGCAAATGCCTCCTCCTCTGCTTTGAGTGCCCCTGTGGCCAGGGGTGTGGTGCTCACTTGAGTCTGCTGATGCGCCGCCGGCGGCGTCGGTAGTCCGTCGCGGCTGCCATCAGTTCCATCGCCTCCATAGGCCTCGCCATCACCATCCGCCGCTGCGTCTGTATCATCCTCGTCGTAGTCCTCATCGCTGTCCTGCATGCGTCGTATGAGTCCATTCGTTAGATCCGGTTCTACCACAGTCTTTTCACAGTCCTCGCTCTGCTGATTGAAGTAGAACGACTGATCCTGTTCGTTTTTAGGCAGACGATGGCGCATATGATCGGCTGCAATAAAATATAATGAGATTAATAGGATTGTTTTAAAAGTCCATTTTAAAAACCATTCCTATATCGCCAATCGTTGTAGAGACTTGATATTTGAATTCTTTATTTAGTCAGTGGTTAGGTTCCAAGGATTTCAAATCATAAATCATATCGTGATTTTTTAGTGATATATACTGGATGTGCATATTCTTAGTTGGGTTTTCAAACTTACTTTTAAATACACTTTTCCAAAAACAATTTCACTTTAAATCGTAGGATATACGAGTTAATGAAGTACTTTATAATAGTGGCTAAGATGTTTTTCGACTCTAAAGTCGCTAAGTTAACTTTCTCAAACTAGTATGTACTTGTTTAAAAACTCCCCTTGACTCTTCCCTGCCTTAATTAATTCACTTCTCAGCTCAAAACCTATGAGATTTTTCAAAAACGAATAACTTTGTCCACCTAGATTGGCAATACAAATGTACATATGTACATACATATGTATATGTACGTGACCTGGCGGTACTTACTCAGAAACAATAGAGCGTAGTAGTGCAGCCATTTGGACTCAAATGTTGCCGGATCGAGCAGAAAGTCGCCGTTGTCGGCGCGTGGTATGCGTTTGTATTCCACACGAAAATTGTCGCGCAGTCCCTTCCACTTGGCCTTCAGCACGATTTCTGCATTCATGAATAACAACAACAACAACAATAAAAAAAAAAACAACTTTTATATTAATTGCACCATCCACCCTTACCACTTCCTCACTTACTTGGCAACTTGTGTGCGCTGCTCAACTCATCCCACATCTGCTCCAGAAACGCTTTGTTGCAATGGAAATTGCGATTCCATATCGCCGGTCGCTCCTCGATGTCGTGTATAAATTGTTCGACATTAAGCACAATTGTTGATTTCTTTGGCGCCATTTTAACGGCGTTCGCTTTCGTTTTTTAAATTTTTTATAATCCGTTTTTGTTTTCTCACTTCTCACGCCCGCGCCTGCTAACGGCGAATGAACAGAGTTTTAGTTAAGAACGCGACACGCGACATTCGACAGCCTGCATGCCAGCCTGCCTGCCTGCCTGCTCAATCGTAGCCGGCGAGGTAAAGAAACGAAGAAGGAAAGACGGCAAAGATAACGACAACGCTGAGCTTCACAAGCGTTCGCCCCCCAGTGTTGCCCATTTAGCTCTTTTCCCACCAGTTCAGTTAAAATGTCGGATTTGTAGCATTTTTACAAAATTGGAATACATACAACTCTAAATGGTTACTGATAAAGTTATGTGCGCAAATATGTATTATTAACTTGAATTTGACTCAAATGAATTAGCTGTAGTAAGTATCTGTCTTTCGTCTTGTCATTTAAGTTTGTTGGTAAATTTGGAAAAAGAATTTGCCATTATTCAGGGAAGAAAGTGTGTTAGAGCCCAACCGGATCGAGCCAAAATATAATATAGCAGTCATTGTCTTGTTTTGTATTTACGAAAATTTCTAGTTCTACGCTTCATCTTCATTAAAATTCTGCAATGATCATTGAATAAATGTGTTATAATTAGGTTCTTCAAGAATAAAAGCAAAAACATTAAGGAAAGGAAAAGTTCGCGAATTAGTTTATGGCAATAATTCCAATCTAGCTTTTTTTGACACTCAACAATTGGCAGCACTGTTCCGCTCTTTGTTTTCGCTCTCTTTCTGCATTGCTCCCGCAAATATAAACTTAAACAAAGTGACTGCATTTCAGATCAAAGCAAAGTTCGTGATGCGTGCTCCATCTCTGAAGCGATCTCTGGGCTTTTGCTGACGCGTAGGTGTGAGCGCACAGTGGCGCTAAAACTGCTGTGGGTGCGAGCGAATACTTCAGCATTATATTCTTCATTTTCAAAGCTCACGAAGATGGTCATTTGGAGTGATGAATAACATTTGAACAGAATTTGGTCAGCAAATAAAAATTTAGCGATTGATTCGAGCAAAACCTGAATATTGCAGTCGAGTTTTCGAAGATTAGGTGAAATGTATTAATTAATACATTTAATTAGATGTATTAATCTAAATGACAGATTTGGATTTTAACAAATAGCTGTTCGGCTGGTTGACGACACAGCCTTGAAAAAATATGATTACACAATTTATGAGAAAGGAATATAACTACTGGACTGATTATTTCCTCTCCTTTGTAGAAAAATGTCTTTGCTGTGATTACATTCGGGTATATTTGAATAAAAGTAATCTCAAGGGTATATAATTGAACACTTTCACTTTTTTTGTCAATTTATTAAAATGGATTTTGATCAACTAAACAAATTATACCGACATTGATTTCAAACATTCCGTAGCATATTTTAAAAGTATATAAAATGTCTTAGCATTGCTGTCGAGAATAAATATGTAATGGCCCTGGGTAGAAATTCAGAATCGGTATGAAGTATGTATAAGAATATATTTAAATAAAATTAAATATTAAAATTAGGTTAACTCGAGCCAGAGTAGTCGCCCCCACATAATGCAAATCGATGTTGAAACTTGAACATCAATAATCAAGCAGGAAAATCGAAATAGAAAACAATTTTTAATATGTTTTTAAACACTCACTGATGCTACGAATATTCAAGAAACTTTCTAACGATATTGAAACTCCAAAGAAGGTCAAAAATGTTAACCCGTAAAAGTTAAAGCAGCAAACAGAGATTTTAGAGTTCGCAGAATTGGCAAAACGATATAATTGCAAATTATTAAGAAGATGGTTTGAAAAAAGGCTCCATAAACTTGATTTGCAAATGAATTTGAAGAATCTACACTGCTAGTTCGATAACGTAAGCTCAAATGCATTTTGAAGTATCGGCGTTCATACAGACAAGCCGAACTAATGGACAAAGCGAGTCACTTGCCAGCTTTGGTCAACTGACTTAACTAAGTTGCAAGTGCAGCTACAGCCACTGCTATTTAAATGCCACAGCAGCAGCAGTAAAAGCAACAACAACAACAACAACTAGCCAAATGGGCAGACCAGTGCAATACAATAACTTCATTAAGATTCCGTGGCTTGCGACTATGGCGACGACGATGAGGACTACGATGGCGGCAATGGCAGTTGTTATACTGTTGCTGTTGCTGTGTTGTTGTTGCTGCTGTTGCTGTTGTTGTTGCAGTAGGCCTAGCCAATGCCAACAGCAGTCAGCCAAACGAGCCACAAGCGTGGAACGTTTTAGCGACAGGAAATGCTGCAGCACTGTCGGCAACTGCGTCGACAGCGACAGTGACGGCGACGGCGACGGCGACGGTAACGGCAACGACTGCGAAGCGTACGAAAGAAAGAAGCAAAATCAAATTATAAACACGCCAGGCCAGGCCAGAGAGGAGGCAGTCAGTCAGCCAAGCAGGCAGCAGGCAACAGCAGCAGCAGCAGTCCTCCCCGCCACCCCCCTCTCACACTTCTACCGTAACTCAAATTGCGCCCCCACACGAGCCTCTCGGTGAGTAGCAAGCGATTGCGATGGCGTCGTCGCCGTCTGGCGGCGGCTAGGCAGGCACATAATATGTGAGCATGTGCGTGTGCATGTGTGTCTGTATGTTGTTGTTGTTGTAGTATGTTGCTGTTGTAGGGTGTGAG